CCTGTTTACGCCATTACTCAAGCGCGCTTTCTAACTCTTCTTCTAATTCAAAAGTCACTCTCCTGGCCTTAAAATAATTTAGGCTTAGAATCATCGTTTAATAAAATATTTATTCTTAAATTTTTAAATTTTCCCATGTTACCATTGAAAACACAACCCCTTAATTAATTTATTAATCATGATAGAACTAGATTCAGAACAAAATTCTTCCATTTGAATTGACGGAATCAAAATGTTCCCTTTACCTTAAACAATTATCATATTTATTATCCATATTTTTAAACGAATTCTTTAAAAGTCGTAAAATTTAATTTTATCGCCTAATTCTTGTTTATTACTACGTTTTATATCATAATTAAATTTAATTATCTCAAATTCATTAATCAAATCTTGACTACATAGGGGTGGTCCCTCCCCAAAAACATAAAAATCTAACAAATTAAAACATTTAAGCATTTCACTTTACAATTTAAAACTTGCCTAACGACTATACGACAACAATTTTATGGAACAGTTTCTCAACTCAATATTTTCATAATTTGTGAGCTTTTCAAAATCTTTGATCGGCAAGGATGTCACTGAAGATCCAGTAACTATCATAAATGGAAAATGAAGATTATTTAATTACCTATAAATAATAAAATCATAAAATCATTCATAAAATTGATTTTTATTTCGTGGCCTTATATTATACGGTATCTGAATCATCTCTTGCTTTTTGTTGTTGTTGTTGTTGTCGGTCCCCCTAAAAGCATATTTATTTTCTTTGCATCCTGTATTCCCTTGCTCATTATCTTTTCTCCATGAATCTTTCTCTGCATAAATTTTATTATCAGTAACTTCCATCGATTGACATTTGACCACTATATCATCAATAATTTTCAGATCAGGCGTATTTTCCTTTATCAATCTTACTTTAAGTTATTCATTACGACAGTTGACAGTTGTTCATAAATCGTACCGAAATCAAATCCGTATTCAGTGCCGAACCACAGCCTTTAAGTCAACCCAAATATTCTCTGGAAGATTCCATTCTATCTGGTTTGGAATTAAAAAGGTCAAAGATTCTAGTAATCTCATTCTTTACAATATTTTTTTGAATTAAGTCTTTCATTTGCTGATAAAATAAATTATCCAAAATACTCACCTCCATATCTTTATCAATCCTCACAAAAAGTATATATTTTTTTGATGGCCTCATCCTTAAGGTCCAAAGTTTTTAAGAGAACTTTGATCTTGATATAATTACAATCCTAAATTTTGTAATCTCCGCATATTTTTTTATCCGCAAAATTATTAATAATCTCATATACATTCCTCAATATATTATACCCATGATGTAGTATTTAATTGATTGTATTACACAATAGGAAATTATAGTGATAATACATTAGGCCTATTTACCAGAGTTGTTAAAAGATACTTTATAAATGGATCTAGATACAGACACATCGTCTAAAAAAATATCTAGATACCGATATTTTAATTAAAAATATCTAGATACATATACAGATACCATATTTTTATATCTAGATACATTGTATCTAGATCCTTTAACAACTCTGCTATTCACCGAAATGTTTAGCCCCTTCCCCGTGAAAATGCATTTATTGATGGTAGCCCCTTTAATAAAAAACATTATTTCAATATCTTAACACTTTCATATGTTTTATAAATTTTATTAAGGCATGTTGTTATATTATTTTCAAATAATATTTAAATATTTATTTGGTTAATTGAATGATTGATTTTGATTTAACATGCGATATATATGTGATATTATTTTTTAAAGATTTTTTTTGTATTTCGTATCGGAAAATAATTTGAATTTTGGGAATTCGTTATAAAAATATTACGATTCAGACTTTGTTAATACAATTCCTATAAACCGAACCAAATCTCAATACTACCACGCCTAAAACTAATCCCTACAAATTTATAGAAATTTCTAATCTTTTAAATATCTCAAAATTACTAATGTGTTCAAATAAAAATATCGAAATCCATTTCCGGTTAAAACAAATAAAGTATTTTGGTATCTTATAAGAAAATGTATTTTTATATTCAACATTTTAATATGATTTACTAATCTATTTGTGTTATTTTAAGTTATGATATCTAGCTTGATTAAACTTAGAATTTTATGATACTCTTTCCACATTGTACATGTCGTATTAGGTTATAAAATCCAGAGATACTAAATCTCAAGATATAAAAACATTTAAGTCATCATTAAAAATTAAAAAGTGATTGAATAAATGGAAAGGGGAAGATGGTTAATGGTTAGAATCCCTTTTAATTTGAATAAAATTTGGGAAAGGGATTAAGTGAAAACTGCAACATTATTTCTTAAAAAAAAATATATTATTATAATATAATACAAAAAAGTAATTAAAAACAAAAATAAAAGGGCAATAAACTATATAATAATAATAATAATATAAAACGGACGTTTAAATAATTTTTATAAGATGAGAAAGAAGAATTAACTATACAATATAGCAATTTAAAATTAAATTATCTTTACAAACAAAAGAGTGTTTAAATTAGACTTAAAATACATTTTCCCGCTTTCTTATTTGTATCGGATATTATAGTCAGTCTCCTAACTTGATGGCAGGTAGTATAAAGATTATGAGGTTGAGAAAGCTACTATCGAAGGAACTATGAATGTTTCCTTGTTGTCGTCTTTTGTTTGTTCTGTTTTTATTTTTTTTATCAATGAATTGAATTTCTTGATCATCTTCTCTCTTATCTAATTCCTTTTGAGTTGCTGGATCCACAATCTAAGAGAAATATCTATATTCATAGCTACTCGAAGTTCTAAGTGATCTGAATGTCTTCTCCAAATGACATAAAACGGATCTATTATATAAATTTCGCTGGAATTCAATAGGTTATAAAATTTCTTGCATATTAAAACCTGTTTTACTTTTCACATAACTTCCAAACATCTCCTCTTCAATTTTTGTGGTGTACGTTCATTTAACGGGCCTTGCTATGCAAATTTTAATTGGGAAAATCTCAGTTAAAAATTTAACTATTTCTTTTTTCGAGTTAGGTGACTTTCTAAGAAAACTTTTTTAAAGTTTGGGTGCCACACCTCTCCCGTTAATATCACGTGATATGGAGAGTTTAAAAAATATTTTAAAATAAGCTATATTTTTTTAAATTGCCTGAAAATGGGAGTCCATTATCAGCCACCATTGAATTTGGTTTTATTTAAAATAATGACTATTTTTCATATGTTTTTTTATAAAATTATTTTCCTGAAACGTAACTCAACCTTATAGCCTTACAATTTAAATCTATGGGTGAGAGGAGTGACCTGCTGATATCTTCAGTATAGAAGCATGATTAAAATTTTATTGCATAGATAAACGTTAAATTAGAATATCGAATAGGGTTTTAAAATGAAAATGTCACAACGCGAAAATCAAAAATATTATATTCCTCATTACATTCATTTTTTTTTAGTTCATAGAAAAAAATTATCAAATATAAAAAAATGATGATGATAAAAAAACATTTACAGGTGTAGATTGCCACAGCTACTAGAAAGGGACTCATGTTTAATAAAAGGGAAAAGGAGATCTTTATTAGCGTTTTATAATAGCAGTGGATCTAACGTGGAAGTGCTCAATATATTTTAACCAAGGTTCGGATATGGAATGGTTTGACTCAACACCTGTAAGATAGGTGGTAGAAAAAATGGATCAACATTTATCAGCGAACAAAGAGAGGATACTCAAGGATAACTATCATCAAATTTTTAAAGACACAACGAAAGGACAATAATTTAGCCGGAGGGGTGGTTTAAATGCCTCATTGGTTTACAAATGGGGGCGTGTCATATATATCTATTTTGGGGGAGTAGTTAATTTTGAGCATTCATTGTTATATTTTTTGGTGAATTTATCAAGTCATCCTTATTATGAAAAATATATTTTATTTTTGTGTTTGGAGAAGATTATTAAAAAATTTACATTTATTTTTCAAAATATGCAAAATATAAAAAGGCATAAAAAAAAGTAAAATCAATCTGTTTTTAATATTCTTAGTATAGCAAATTGTGAGATTATGCTTAACTATTTAAAAATATTTCTTTTATCTTTAATAATTCATCAAAATTATGAATATTATGTAGGTGTACATAAACCTATACAAAATAAGAATGTATAAAATTACTATAAAATGGTTATATACAAATTAACAATATAAAATTTATGAAATAAAATAAAATTTATCTTTGCTTGCTTATTTGGTATAAAAAGTTCTATTTAAATGTCGGCTGATAATGTCTTCCTTGGATTTAATAATAATATGAACAGTTCTTCAAAAAATTAAATTCTTTCTTCTTTTTGATTATGATGATTAAATATTTTATAAATCTAATTTTTTTAGATTAACAATGATTCGTTATATTAATTACTTTATTCAAATATTTATATTAAAAAAATACTAAAAAAGATATAGATATAAAGCTAAACGTTTCTGAATTATCATATCTTACAGTTCAGCAATGCTTTTTCATCTATATAATCAAACCTAAACCAGATAACTTCAAAGATTGTTTTTTTTAATTCAGATTACAAAATATCTTACAAAGAAAACATACCTGCCTTACTCATTATATATAATTAATCTTTAAAAATTTTTTATTAAAACAGTGAATTAATATTGTTAACATAAAATCCATTAGAATATACAATAAAAAAAATAAAATAAGTGTCAGTTTGCTCCTTTAATATTTAGCCTTTTAAAAATTTAGCTCAAAAAATTAAATAGCAAACATCTAAACCAAGGAAATTCCTATTCCTCAATCAAACAAAACATACAAATCAATATTTTCAAATTAAACTATTGCTCTTTTTTGGGAACTCAATTATCTTAAAATTAAATGATATTTTATAACATTTTTATTATTATTATACTTAATAGTTTTAATAGATAAGAAAAAGAAAAGAAAATAATTGTATATAAAATGAAATTAACAAACATATGATTCATTAGCATTTATCCTCTCAACACATGAGATTCTTTGATGATAGTAAATACTTTGGGTTTGATGATGGCACTTATAGATATCCTATGTGCCCAATGTATCCTGATTGGGACAAAGATCTAGAAACATATCGCCATGATTTTAGTAAAGATACTCGAAGTGAGTTTGAGAAAAACATAGACAAGTTTATATTTACCAATGACCCAACTAAAAATGCCCAAAAAATTGCTATAACAGTTGGAGTAATTGTAACTTTTTTATCTGTTTACCAGGGAAAAGTTCATATAATGAAACGACCACCTTTTTCAGGTTTTATAAATCATTGCAATTAAAATTTTTTTTTTTAATATAGGTATTCAAACCTATTTTCTATCATGTGGAGTTGCAGCATTAGCAGGATGGTATGCCCCTAAACGTTATTATTACAATAAAAATAAGAGAAGAATGATGATATTATGGTATATGAGAAATCATAGAGATCAATGGCCTCCTGAAAGACCAAGTTTTATATAAATCATATATAAATAAATTGCTTTATTTTATTTAGGAAAAACTTATGGAGAAGTTATAACACCATGGTTTCCTATCAGAAATTTATAAAAAAAAATTCTGTTTCTCAAACAAAATGCATTTGTTTTAAGATATAAGAATTTTTCAAAATTTTACAGCCATTTTGATTAAATTTTTGTAATGCTTTTCTATATTCATAAATAAAACAAACTATATAAAGGCATTAATTGAACACATAATTAATTAATGCGTATTAGTACCATTTATCTCATGAGATTTATTGTGTCGAATATTAATTTTTATGGCACAAAAAAAATGTGTATATAAAATGATATAAAAGTATAAGTAAATATCTTAAAAAGTTTAAATATATATGTATTATACAGTGCCTTATTTATAAAGTTTATTTTTAGGGGTATACCTATATCACTTTTTGGAGGCTGATTTGATATTAAATTGATATCGGCCAATTACTGATCCATTATCCTATCTGATATTTTATCCAGAAAAACATAAGCCTGGAGATTTTGCTTATAGATTGGCACAGGGATTTGGACATCTAATAGCAGAATCTCGAAGTTTAAGCAATATTCTTTGGCTATCTCCAATGGAGTAATTTTATGTCACTAACACCTACTCATCTCATACTATTTAATAGTATAACCTATAATTTAACTATATCATAACAGTCATTTAAATATATTATAATAGGACTGATTTCATTATTATTTATCCTAGTAATTGACATGGTAGCTAGAGAATATTCAATGAACTTTTGTTGGAGCATATGTGGATGACTGCGTATTGATGGCAATTAATGAGGGATAAGTATAGAATTATTGAATGGAAGATGACTATGGGCATGAAGGGCTTAAAGTTGAATCCAGAAAATATAAAGGTTAAGATTGGGAGAGGCATTGTGTAGGTGAAGGAATCCAGTACTTACCCCTGGTGTATATATGGAAAGAGGCTGCTTAAACTAAACTCAATTTACCAACTGCCAACAATAGGTGCATAGAAGATAGTGGTGAGAAAAGAGGCCTGATGATAGCAAGAGAGCCTTTCATCGTTAGAAACGTATGTATAACGGGTCATTTAATGATAACCTAGACTCTACCAACGCTTGGGAGGGAAGGGTGAATTTTGGTTGATGTTTTGGGAATTTTAGGCTGGGGACAAAAGGACTTGATTTCGCCACTGCATTTATTATAGGTAAAGAATCTTTAAAAAAAGCCGGAGAATTTCTCGGACGACTTTCGTAGAAAGTTGCAGTGGAATCAAAAAAATGTTACCTAAAATTAGAACATTTTGTGATCCGTATGGGCTATCTCGCTCATTCCCCCTTTTTCGCGGGCCCGCCTTTTTAAAAATTACATTTTTTTTGTGTAAAAAACCTTTTGTTGGTAAATTTAAAGATTGGTCAAATAAGGCGAGGTTAAATTATTGAAAGAAAATTATCCCGTTTATATTAAAAATTTTTTATTATCAAATCCATCTGATCCTCACGACATTTATGGAAAAATATAGAAGATTTTAACTCTGCCTTGGCCTTTGCTTAAATGGACATACATATTTTTGGGATTCTAAGGAAAAAGATTCCAACTATATTAGCACGTTCAGGATTAGGGATTCATTGATCTCCTTATTTATTACGGCAATCCTTAGTTTCGACTATCTTAAAGTTTTAGAAACGTCACAATTCGTCGAAAATGGAATACAGTTTAGATCCAATTTTGCCAGAGATCTTAGCATCAAGCGGAGCTTAGATATGAGCTTTACAAAAGAGGATGCTAAAAGGTGTTAATTTATATACTCAGCATCATTTTGGAAATTCGTCCCTATACCCCCGCCCCCGCTGCTTGGAAGACCTTCAACTCGCTTTCTAACACTCGACCGGGTTTATGTCCCTGGATTTATATATTTTACTATATATAATTATAATCAGGCGCATAGGTAGGTCACTATGGGGGGGGGGATCATTAATTTTTTTTTAGAATAAATCTAGAAATTATCTAAGAATATCTCAAGTGTCAGAAAATTATTAGAACGGCCCGGATTGACAGTTTCAAATACACAAATTCATATATAAATTAGTGGTGTGTTGGTAACTATTTTTGTTTTTTATGAAAAAAATTCAACGAATCAAATCTTTTAAAGAATGCTGCATCTTGCTGAAGATTCGTTATTATATTGAATCCAATTAAACATGGTTTTATTTTTCTCCAGTTATATAAAATCCATTTTCTGTTAAAAATTTAATATTTGTAGATTTGAATGAACTCGTTTACGAAGTTGAACGCGTTCCGTTTTTTTTGCAAACGCTGAACGCGTTCCGTTTTGCAAACGTTGAACGCGAACGTATACGATTGTTGGTAATGAACGACTAACGCGAACCAGTTAATTTCATTTTAGACGTTTAGCTGCTTAATTTTTGATTCTTGCTTTAGGATACATTGGGAATTTTTTTGAAGGGCTATTAAATCTATTTTCACTCCGGTTTACCAAAAGTCTACGAAAGACCTTGGCATACCTAAAGGTATCGAATAAACGTGATTTGAGACGTGTATTAGTGAAGTTATGTTGATCTCATTTTGACTTTGATAGACGGAGCTGCCTATCTTATTTTTACTAAAAACAATAAAAAATAAATAAAAATTAATATATGATGTTTGTATCTTACTCCAGTATCTAACACTTCTTAATATCTAAAATGCAATAATTATTTTCAATTAAAAATTTATTTATCCCCCAAGATAACCACAATAATTTAAAAATTTTTAATATAAATTTAATAATGATCGTGAAATTTCACCATCGAAAATAAAAAGTATCTTACCATATCATAATAATCATATAATTTATTATTATTATTTAATTTCCAACCAATCAATCTAATGCAAAATTGTTGAATGACGGTTGCCTTTATCTAATAAAAATTAAGGCTACGATAGTAGTTTGAAGTAGATATGTGCAAAGCCCAGCTCGGTCAGCTAAAAGTGTGAAGGGCTAGCTAGCTAGCTTAAATGCAAAAATTAGAAAAAGGATTAATAATCTTAACATAGAATAGGCTCAGAGGGCTGCACTCCTTATGATATTTAGTCGATTTAGCATTTGAAAATTTTAGCGAATAATTTTTTTTAGAACCATATTTTTTTTTGTATCAATTTAAAATTACTTTGTCTGAATTAAATTTCAAATTTCGCCCTTATTTTTAGGGTTTAACCCGACAACTTATTTTAGCGATGTATCTTGGACAGTGTTCATTATCGAGTAGAACGCGGTTAAAGACCCGCCCCGGTCTAAGTTATTCTCGGGTTATCTGCTAAATTATTGCCGCGTTATCCATACCATATACATTTATTTTTAATCAAGATACTTTTGATAAAATTTTGGAATTCGAGTTCTCTTTACCAAAAGTTCATTTTTTTTGTATTTATTAAAACATTTAATAACGTTGAAAATGAAATATCTCAGCTTATTGATTATAGCAATTTCAAGTATAATTTAAATTTAGGTATAATATTAGGATAATCTATTAATTTTAGTCTTACAAGTCATGTTTACAGACGCAGTGGGAAGATAACCATTATTTTCGTAATTTAAACATACAGATAAACGTCAACAAGGTTAAAAAAAAGAAGATTCTTAGCACTTTTTTGAAGATTTCATTTTTTAGTATCCCTAAGTCAAAATTTTACTTCTTAGAAAATAATTGAAATGAAATCGGCTTTAGACGCCCTAATGTATAAATGCAGGAATCTTTTTTTTGAAAGATATTTTGACTTAGAAACGCACTCTCGCACCCCCTTCCCTCTCTTTGTTTTCCATTTCGTTCTTAATGTCATTCGTTTTTATTTTTACAATTTCTTTTTGAGGCCTCATTTTCTAGTAAGTGCGAACAATTCGCGTGGTATCGTATCGCCAAAGGGTCTCGTTTATAGTAACCGATGATACTTAGATAATGCATGATTCGTGGCTAAAAGCGATATCGTAACTGTGGCTATTCGCGTAAGCGTTTACTACAAATGCCACCTATATAATCATCTTGATGGTGAGGGAATGCGTAATTCATGACTAAGCTATATAGTATAGCTGTTCTAATTAATATTTATTTTTGGGGTTATTATGAACGAGGCATAAATTGTAAAGTAAATGCGGATGAACTATTCAACTTCTTTCTTTCTTTTCTTTCCATTTCAAAATAAGAGCCAAATATAGTTATTCAACTATCCTCATCTCCATATTATAATATGCCTATTTTTTTAAAAAAACATTTTCTCTTACCTTATGTGCTTCTTTTATTGGTAAGGAAATTGAGATTATTGAAAGGTCTTCAGAGCTTCCTTATTTCATGTCGCATTTAAAACGGACTCAAAAGGGTTATAGCGTCAAAAGATACGCGCAAAAAACGCATCGCTTTTAACTACCTATCTTGTAGCGTTATAATTTTTCTTACCTATGCTCGGATATACAAAGTCGCAAGGGACATTTTTATCTGAATACACTATTGCTCACCAAAACTAAATCTTCAGGGGGGGGGGGGTTATCTCGTAAATTATTATATCCTCTAGAAACGTATTATTTTTTTTTTACCAGCTAACCTGTACTGAACAAATCATTTAAATAAAAAAAACATTTGCAGACATTGTAACGGTATTTATTATTTTTTAACATTAATTTTAATAATGGACTATTTTTAAAATTAAGGAATTTGCGATTTGCCGCTAAGACCCGGGTGCGGTTGTCATACGCGATGTCACACTGCTTGGTATTACAGAGGCGGTGAAAAAAAATGTCGAATGTTTCGGCATGGTGGTTGCCCCGGAAATAAGAACAGATTTAAGACGTATCGAGAATGTAACGAGCGTTGCCCTGATTAAAACAGCTGATAATTTATTCCGATATTTACGTTTTAAATAATAAAATAGTTCATGGCATAGCCATTGTAAAATCATTTTGAAACTCATTATTTTTTTGTATTATATGAATCTAATGTAACTCTTCAAAGTAACTCTAATTGTATCTTTTTTTTATCCCATCATTGACTTATATTTATATAACTTGAATAAAAAAATGAATTCGATTTACATCTCATAAAGGTTGGTTAAGCGGTGACTAGACGTGTCATATAATACTTATCTTGACTGACAATTCAATCAATCATTAAGATACATTTTGAATCATCGTTTAATAATAATCAACTGGTGAAGCGCCATGTTTGGTTTCTGAAAAAAAGAATAATTTAGAAATTAAAAGGATGACATGTCCACCAGTTGATTATGTGATTGATGCACGCCAGAATGATTGAATCATCACTGAACTAAATATTTTACATCATTGGAACTTATAGCAATTCACTATAAAAAAAAGGAACCATATTTTTTTTTAATTTTGAGCAATTTTTTTTAAAAATATATTTTAAACCTACTTTATATCTGTGGTGACACTTTTAACAATTGACTTCGTCCCAGCGTTTCAGGGGAAAAAAAATACTAGTACCGCCAAGAATTGAATCCATGGTTTGTTGGCTGAGTCTCAAGCCAGATTTTATCAGTTCGCATCTTCAACACTCTCAGCCACAGCTATCATTTAAAATACTATTTTGTTTATTTTTCGAAATTTAATAATAATTCAGCCTTATAAACGTTAAATAGTTGCTGGCTTTAGGGGCTAAGATTTTTTTTATTAAACATCATTTGACTGAAGAATTCCAATTGTTATTCTAGTAGGCACGACAGGTTTAAAATTGCTGTAATTGGGTATATAATGAATCCCTTAAAGAAACTAAAGGACCAAAATAAACATTGAAAAAAAAGAAAAAAACAAAGAATCTATACAAGTGGCCCCTTAAGTCCTTCAAGAAATCTTTGCGAGGTTAGGTCATCGGAAAAAGCCTTCTTCCCAGGAAAATCTCAGCTATTTCTGGGCAGTTTTAGTAATCAATTTATTTATTCAATTCACATTGATTGTGATTAACTTAATTATTAAAAAATAATTTGAAAACACTTTAAGTTATGATAATTTAAGAAAAAACTGTCATTCTAATAAAAAACAAAATTGGGATCCTAGGAAAAATTTCTCAAGAGTGAATTGGAGAAAGGGGGGAAGAGATAGCAGTGTTACCAAACAGAGGAGCCTAAATGATGTAGCTTCTAATTTATATTTGGTTAGATTGAATTCAGTAAGACGAATAAGAATTTCTCTGGAAAAACTATTTTTTAAGACCTCCTTCTAATTTATTCTTCAAAAAAAAACATATGGTATTTGAAGAGCTTGTTTTAATGAATATTTTGCCTCGATTATCGGAAGCCTGCATAGGTCATTTTGAGCCCCGTCCAGATTTGAAAAAAAAAATGATAAACTCGCCCAACATAATGGAAATCATTGTATTCCGGCACGTTCCGGACCCGGTTTACGGGCTCGAGTCTTAATCCTCATAGTCGGTTTCGATTGACCCGGTTCGGCTAATTAGAAACTAACTCTTAAATAGTACGTATAAGTCTTTGAAAATCTCCATTGAGGTCTCATTAAACCATAACCAAATTAGATTTTTTTAAGAGAAGTGAGGAATTTGGCAAACAAATCTTTTTGTTTCTCGCTCCTCAGAACATTTTATAACGATAAGTTTTTTTTACAAATCAAAATTTATGTTTTTTTGGAAAAAATTGTTTTAAAAAATAAAAAACTATTTTGTTTTTTTTGTGTTTTTAAAAAAAAAAAAATCAAGTAATAATAATCGTATGACCTTAAGTTATTTAAAGTCGCGTAAATAATAAATTTAATTCAATTCAAAATGATGGATTGTCTTCTTGATGAATTTAATGCGTTTTTCCATTGTTAATTCCAAAATAATTAAGAAAGTTTAAAATATGAAATTTTTTTATAAAAAATAAAGTGTTGTTTTCTTATATAAAAATTCGAGTCAATGTCGGAGAAGAATATCCTAACCATCGATAATATCAATCCCAGATTACTGAAGAAAAGCTTCGCTGTTAGGGGTCCATTAGATCTGAGAGCCTGTGAAATCTGGAGTTTGCTAAAATCAGTAATAAATTTTATAAATATATTAGATGATTTATACACTTTTTTAAAGATTAAATATATGTATGGAAATATTTTCGGTGTAATTTATATATCGTATACTTTTTTCCAAATTTGATTCCATATTTTAGCAAAAATCCCTATTCTTCTTTTCTTTACTTAAGAGATTGCTAATTCAGCTAGGGGGGGGGGGGGGCGGCATAAAATTTTAGAGATAAATTAATTTTTGAAATTATGTTGTATGGATTTTTAAATGTTAGTTGATTTTTTGATTGGTTTGTAGGATGACCAATCAGGTCCTCAAAGAAAATGTACATGTCCTCAGGTTTAAATCTTTAGAATTCCACGAATTATAAATTCATAATAATAATAAAAAATTTTGTCTATCATGTTCCGCGTAGAACAACGAGAAAAGTGGTAGCGAAAATCCGCCAAAATTCAAATTTAACGAAACGATCATAGCTACCCTGGGAGATGGGCACGCGTTGGGTATGAAACCCATAACTTTTATTAGACAAGTAATTAACTCGCTTCAAATTAATTAGAAAGAAAGGAAGGAAGGAAAGAAAGAAAGAAGGAAAGAGAGAAAGAAAGAAAATCAGGAAACTAAATTTGGGAGTAAAATTTGTTGGAATAGAACTGGAAGTAGTGTTTATTGGAAAGTTTCTGAGAAGAAAGAAGTACAATTTACACACGGCCGGCCATGTTTTTTTTAACAAAAAATTTTTCAGCCTGGCCCGACCCTGGTTTTATATTTTCAGGTCTGGCCATGCCGGGTATTTTAGGTCTATGGTATCTCTAAAAATATCTTAATTTTTTTTAATTTTTATCCAACGAACGTTAGTAAATTTTGTAGATTTGTATTGTATTTAGAATTTTAAATAATATTTATGTTATCTAAAAAAAAGTATTCATTTATATTTATATAGATGTATGTATAAATTGATTGGTTAAAAAAAAATCACGTGGTTGATAATTTTAAACATTTCATTGGCTCATTGCGATTTTTTACTTTTGAAACCATTAAAAAGTTAGGAATAACCAAATTTTCTCGAATGAGTTTAGGAAAATTCTAAAAATCGAAATTCCGGCTGGGATTGGGAAACTCCATAATGGGTCCTGAAAATGAGTTTCGGGTTAATTGGATACTAATATCTTATTGGCCACTCAAACGGGCCAATAAAAATTTGGAATGCGTATTAAATCGTTCATATTTATAGTAAATTTTACCTACAACTACAAGATTAAAAATATTATTATATTTTTGAGGAAATTAATAAATAATTTGATTTTTTTCTTTTCTTTCTTTCTTCTTCTTTCTTTCTTTCTTTCTTTCTTTCTTTCTTTCTATTTTATAATGATTTTTTAAATAAAAATATATTATTAAAATAAAATCTTATCAAAATCCATCATCTAAAAAAAAAAGGTGTCCTTGCTGTATTTTTGAGAAAAATGTTGGCATTCATTATTAAGAGCAAATAATTAAGACAATTAAGGAAGCAGCCTTATTGTTTTTTTAAGAAGTTAAAATAAATAAATTCCAATTGGTTATAAATATATGATAGTTTAATAGGTTTTTCCGGCATGCGCAGTAGGTTTTGCATTTTAAATCATTAATTGAGTGGGTTTTGTTAAATTTAAAGATCTTATTTTGCCGGAAATGCATCCCAATTGATTTTAATGCACCTATCGGAATGCATTTCTTGCAAAATCAGTTATTTTTTTAAAAAAATTTAAATTAAAACGCGCTCAAATTAATGATTTAATATGCAATAAATTACAAAAAAAATTTAAAAAAACGTCAATCAAACTATCGCCTTACCAAGATTTCTTGGTTTTGCGGTTAGGGTGTATACAAAATATCATTTATTAATATAAAAAAATAACAATTATTTATATACAAAAAATTGCAGATTATGGCTCTGTGCACCTATCCTGGTTTACTCGACGATCATTTTATAAAATGGTGTAAAATCTTTCCTCCCGATGTTATCAGGAGGGTAGAAACATTGCTTGACGAATTCCCTGGTGGATGTATAGGTTTTTTTAAAAAACATATAATATATGTATACTCATACTAAATTTTCAGTGAATTTTGACTTTTTTTTTTAAATGGGGGGAGTTATCATGGAACCATATGGTTTGAGAAGAAAAGGGTGTGGGTACAATGTCATATAATAATACCTGGACTGACTATACATTCATAATAATGCACATGAAGGCGTCGTTGAAGGCAAATCAGCTGGACCCGCCATTTTGGTGACCCGTGTAGTGATTATTCTCATGTTAAAAAAAACTACTATTTACATTGATAACTTGCTACCTTATTCGATGATCAGGCAGTTATTTAATTGGCCTCTCGTTTTAAAATTTTTTAATGGGTAATCAAAATGGCGTCCCCAGCTGTTTTCATTGATGTTACACTTTTAAAGAAAAACATCAGTCTAGGTATTATTTTATGTCATCATTGAGTGGGTATGATTAGACCTATGAGCCCACAGAATCAAAAATTTTGGAAATCTATTTTATTTAATTTCAATTATTCTTTTCTCGGTTAGATAAAAAAATTTCCGCCAAATTTGAATTCAAAAAAAAAAATAATAAGTTAAAGCATTTTTACACCCGATCAATAAATGGAAGGATCTAAGAAAATTTCAATGAGCATGAAAGCAGAATTGAATATCAGGGTAACTGCCCGAGTGGTTAGGTGAATACCATGTATGTTTGGGACATAGGATTACATGATCTGGCCACGATGGAATAAATATAATATCTTTAAAAGTATTAAAGAAAATATGGTTACTCTAATAAGTATTAAGATTTCAAATTTAAGAGGGAGTAATTGATTCTGAAACTAGTAAATGTGCGGAAGATATAGGCAACCATTGCTGATATTTTACAACTGGATGGTAAAGATTCGGCGCATTACAAAAACGTTTCGAAGTTTGATCAATGTGATAATGATGCACTAGGAAACTAAATGTGCTTTCACGTTGTCATAGTAATGATTCTAGATGTGAGTGCAACAAAGGTCCAACATGTTAGATAGAATGAGGAAACAATTATGATTGGGCTATAGTGAGAATTTCTCTAGAAATTTCCTAAGATTATTTAAAGATAGCGCTGATTTTTTTTTTATCATCTAGATAGGAATGTACCATAAATTTGACTCTAAAATTTCGTAGTAGAATATACAAACATTTTATCACAAATGATACTGATAACGTCGATATCTCTTCCCCAACACAAAATAGCCGAATATATTGGATTATTGATTTTTTTTTAAGAACTGGCTCCCTGATATTAGCATTTATCTCTACTATTTTATATTTTTAACGAGGTATGCGCCGCACTGTTAGACCACCTAGGTCTTGAGAAAGTTAAATAACATAAATTTTTAAGGGAAATTGTTTCACTCCCGTTCAATCTTGATGTCATTATGTAATGACATCTAAATATACAGAAAGAATCGTAGCATGAGAGATATATATTTACTCTAAAGAAATTTATATATATATATATAATTTAGCGGTCACCCATTACTAAGGAACAATATATTCTGAAAGATTTCTAACAAGAACTCTTAATCTTATTCTTTTCTCCTCCATTTTCATTGGTGTAGATAATGTTTCTAGAATTTTGGAAAAAGTGAAAAATTAGAAGAATTTTCTTGAGTTAACAGTTACAGCGCTAGAAAAATAAATAATGTGTGTCCCGGTTATCAACTACTAAAGAGCCCGTTTTGTTTTAGTCGCTGGGTCTTAGTTTAAATTTAAGCAAAATAATATTTATTGAAATGTCATCTAGGCCATGTCGATTTTTAACGGGTGCCAATCATTTCGTTTTCTACCAATATTTCTCTTCATTGTTTTTAGAGATAGAGTGGGAATGTCCGAAATTAAATATGATATACGTCATTTTATTTATCTCATATTATTTTTTTTCAAATTTGAATCTGTCAATCAATAATAAAAGGCTCTTACTCTCCCAGCCCGGGGTATGAATTAGTGCGAAAGAACATAGCCAGGTTCATAGACAGAAGGGATAATCTTAATGATAGCAATGTGATCGATTGTTCGACTTACGGTATCACCACGAATGGTTGTTCTTCCGTAAACCAATCTTATAATGGCAAAAAATCTTCCGGGAAATTCCCCGAATGTGATTGGAAGACTGTATTTGTCAGTTCGGGAGCCACGGACGCGATTAAAGTAAAATTTAGAATCAACATCTAGCATCAAATTTTAATAACTCAAAAATAGCTACTTTTCCATATATATTCTTGTTTAAAATTTTATAGAAAAATATTTAACCAAAAATAGAACTTTTTAGCCTTATTCATCCAGGCATCGAATGACGACCAGAGACCAAACGAATTCTTCAAGAGTGGCATAATGACACCCATCCCTCAGTATCCTATATATTCGATCATTATAGCCGAGTACGACATGTTGGAAGTTTGATTCGTGACATTTTTTCTTTAATTCCATTTTTTTTTACATTTCGGAATTTAGTGAGTAAAATATAGTGCGGTCGCTTTAACATTTATCTCTATATTTTTTCTTAGTTAAACTATTACTTGAACGAGAAAACTGGATGGGGAATCAATATCCCGGAACTCCAAGAACTTTACCAGCGCGCTTTAGAACAGAACTGCCAGCCCAGAGTGTTAATCATAATTAATCCAGGGAATCCTACAGGTAAAAATAACGGATTCTAGGGATTTTTTATATGAATATGCCAAATTAAGTCCATCTCAACAAATAATTTATATACCAACCAAATCATTTTTTGGGGAAAGTTAGGTTTAATCGTATTAAATTATATTTTTTTTTCCATCGTAATAATCATTTATTTAATATGGCAGTGGAGGACTGGGGCTAGATGATACGAGGTGAAAAGGATTGATTTTTTTTTTTTTGATTTAAAATTTTCGGTACATTAATAAACGATCAAAATAAAAGCTTCCAACTCTTGTAGAAGTGGGTGCTAAAAATTAATCAATTCCACCTATAAGAGCCTTGTTATAAAGGAGCAGGGGTAAAGTGGACTTTTAAATTTTTAAATAAAAAAAGGATAATTGTGTTCTATTTAGAAAATACGAGAAGGAAGTGATATTTGGTATGTGTTCATTAGTGGTCTGCATCGGGCCTGATTTTTCAAACCCGATCCGGCCCGGCCCGAACCCAAAATTTTTTAAAAAAATTTAGCCGACCCGGCCCGAATTTAAAAAAAATTCTGAAGCCCGACTCGACCCGGCCCGGCCCGAAGCCAGTTCAGGCCGGGTCGAGCCTACTTTTGCAGATATCTAAATGTCCACGATGTTGCTGCTATTATTTATTGTTTCTATATTTAATCTATAAATACATCAGCTCTTTCCGTTAATCGTACGAAACAAATATATATAAGTGAAATTAAAACATTTTAAATTGTATAGGTTTCCGGGCAACGCGTTTTTTTCCGACAACTCTTCTCTTCTTCTTCTCTTCTCTTCTTCTTCTCTTCTCTTCTACAATTCATAAAGATAGGTTATTCTAAACATGCTGGCGCTCAAAAAAAAAGGAATTCATAGTTTAAAAAAAAAATAACCCATTCTACTAAAAAAAAACATATACTGCCGCTAACATATATAATATTTTGTGTTTCGTTATTTTGCCTCGGTACCCCTAATGTTCGGTAAACGGTATCAACGATTTGGGCCAATTTTTTTTTTTGAAAACAGCTGACTAAACATTTTATCCAGGAAAATATTACCGTATCCTCGAAATTTCTCTAAATAGATATCGATGTCCATCACTTTTTTTGTGTGACGTCTATGAGCGAAAAATTTTCTCGCGTAAATATTCATCTCGAACAAAAAAATATTTTAAGCTAGATCGAAAATTACATTATTTGTCAAGTAACTAAATTATAAGAGTTAGCGAGCCAAATATTATTTTACTCCGCTACTCAATGTTGTATACTTTGCGCGGGTAACGCCCCCGGTCTTTCCTCCAAAGCCCGATCATCGCTTCCCTCTTTGACTTAGATCAAATGTTCTTATTACAATTTCAAAGTATTTATTTTACTTTTTAGTGTGCGGTTCTAATGTTTATTAAATATATATATATATATATACCCGAGGAACATATGAAACATTTCTCGTTTTAACACTTATAGGTCAAATACTATCGCTCGACGATATGATAAAGATATTGCGATTCGTTCACGAGCACAAACTCTTCCTGTTATGCGACGAGGTGATTGATAGTATCATATAAATATGTTTATTATTTTTGTATCATAAAAAATCATCCATTTTTGTATCTCTATTCAAAAGTAATAGAATGGTTTTAGATGAAGTATATATTTGTGGTATCTGTAACCCAAAAATCTTCTAAGTAGTAGTGTAAAATATAACCGGTCTTAGGGTCCAACATTCTAGGTATCTTAGAATATATATAAAGGACTTGTGTCATGGAACACATGCCTATATTATCAATAGACCTAAATCTATGTATAACTATCTTCTTTTTTTGGGTTAATGAAATAAACATATGATATGAAACGCTTAACTTGAGATCATATCACGTGCCATATAGGTAATATAAAATAATCTATGAAATTATATTACTGACTAACCGAAACTGGTGATTCATTCATTAAAAGTGTACATTCATTGAAGCCAGCTGTAGTGAATGCCATTGGCTGAATAAAAAGACATCATTGATGGCGGGCTCCCATGTATATACGTACACTTACCAACGCATTTCGATATAATTGTAATCTAGATTAAGTATTATATGTCACCGAATTTCTGTTACTACATATAGCATGTGGACATTTTTTCTAAACATATTATATTTATATTTCTAAATTTTAAAATTAAAGTTACTTAAAAAGTATCTAATTTTAAAACAATAATTTATTTTTTTTATCGATTTAGGTCTATCAACATAACGACTATTATGATACTGACGACGTGGGTTGGAGATCCTTCAGAAGAGTTTTATACGAAGAAACCCCTGATATTTCTGATGAGGTTGAAATGGCTTCCCTGTATTCTATATCTAAAGGATACGCTGGAGAGTACATACTTTAATATGCCCGAAATTTTTTATTTTTCTCTTTTATCTTTGCAGAATGTCGTATTTTTTATAGGGTACCTGAAGGTCCAGTTTCTTCAGGAGGCGGTGCCTATCCCTGAATTTACAGTTAATTACATAATTCCCGACAAAAAATACAAAAAAATACAGCCATATTTTGTACACACCAAGAATATTTATTTAATCGGTTGGAAAAATTTAAAGGAATTCCAATCCAAATCGAGCTTAAAAATCGATCTGGATTCATGGGCTTCCTGGTTGATTCTCTCACGTGATCTTTAGAGGAATATATTTAATTATTCCTGCCAAAATATGATTTGCAAAATAATATGATGGCCATTTTTTTTTGACTTTTAAGGCAAAAAAAATAAAATTAGAAGATATACAGGGAAAATTATCATTTTATTTTTGATTTGTGAGCAAAAATTTTCGCGTATTTACCCCTAGAGTTAGGGTTAGGGATAGGGATAGGGATAGGGATAGGGATAGGGTTAGGGTTAGGGTTAAGGTTAGGGTTAGGGATAGGGTTAGGGATAGGGATAGGGATAGGGTTAGGGTTAGGGTTAGGGATAGGGTTAGGGATAGGGTTAGGAATAGGGTTAGGGTTAGGGTTAGGAATAGGGTTAGGAATAGGGTTAGGGTTAGGGATAGGGTTAGGGTTAGGAATAGGGTTAGGGTTAGGGATAGGGTTAGGGTTAGGGTTAGGGTTAGGGATAGGGTTAGGAATAGGAATAGGGTTAGAAATATGGTTAGGGTAGGGTTAGGGATCTAAATGAATGATTTTCTCCTATAATGTGATAAATATCAACCTGGCAAAGATAATAATACGAAAGAATAAAATGCTAAGAAAATAATTATAGGTATAATAAAACACTGGGTTTTTTTTCTCTTTAAAACCGTTATTGGTTAGTTAGTGATTAGAAATGAATATTTTCTTTTCCATTTAAATCCAAAATTTTATTTCCCGAGACTTTTCAATTATTGGATTAGGAATTTCGTGAAACGTATGATCGCTGTCAATTATTTTAAATCGTTTTACACCTCCAGGAATTCCAACTTTATTATAAAATGATATATCTTAAAAATGACAATTATCGTGCATATACACTAGAGATCTGAAAAAGTAGACCCGGCTCGTACCCGGCCCGAACGGGTTTCGGACCGGGTTGGGCCTTAAATTTTTTTAAAAATATATCTAACATACCTAAGGTGTGGAATCAGAGGAGGTTACATACAATTTACCAACGTTTCCGCCGATATTTTGGACGTATTCCTTCAAATGGCCCTGTCCCATTTATGCCCGACTACTTTGGGACAGGTATAATACGATAACTTTATTTCTAAATAACCCTTCTTCTATCAAACTTTAATTTTATTTTATTCATCGTGTGAATTCAAAAAAAAAATGAAATATTGATAAATTTAAAAATAAATAATAATATCTTCAGGAATAGGCGAGGAGAGAGGTGTAATATGACTCCATATTATGGTCCAAAGCGTTAAGAATTCCGGGGTAAGGAGAAAAGGGGTAGGACGGGTGTGTGTGGGGGGGGGTGATAAATATCCTTATGTTGCCTAAAAATGAAAATCTCTGTGAAGGGTATCCATTTTTTCATGAATCATCGATCAAATATGAATAATTCTCGCATATATATCATTCGCAAGGTATAAAGGAGCATGCGCGATCTAGCATCGCGCCAGAGCATGGACGAATCCTCAAAATAAATCAGCTTCTAGCTTTACATTTTTTTATATTTTTTTTCCCTAAAGACTCCATTTTGCCTGAACTGTATTCCAGCATGTGTGTATAGTTTCTAATCCCATAAAAAATTTCAGATAATTTTTTCCCTGAAATTTTATGAAGTCAATCCAAATTTGTCGTCGGATGATGCATGAATTTGGCTCAAGAGATGTTGTATTTAGATCGGTGTCTTATCTATATATTCTTATTTAAAGTACATATATATATTCTTCTCTTCTCTTCTCTTCTCTTCTCTTCTCTTCTCTTCTCTTCTCTTCTCTTCTCTTCTCTTCTCTTCTCTTCTCTTCTCTTCTCTTCTCTTCTCTTCTCGGATATATATATTAGCTTCAATATGTTTTTTTTCCAGCAATGTGTTACTTTTACAACTTTAAATCCTTTTTGAGCGCTATTCTAAAATTTTTAAATCTAATTTTTACCGGAAATAGATTCTAATCATGTTTGGAATACCTATCTTATGAATTGTAGACGCTTTTTGCTGTCAACCTTGGAGTCATTTATAAATTTATGTATAAAAAATTTATGGGAAACATTTAATGTATATTATATTAAGTTAGGTCTGAAATAGAGTAGTTATTCCAAACATGTTGGCACGCATCCGATATCTGTATCAAGATAATTTTCAGAGCATGTATCTGTATCACGATACATTTGAAAAAGTGTATTTAAAACTCTTGTAGATAACATACCGGAATACGTTCTAGCAAAATGAGGTTGTTTACTAGATCTTTAACCACCCCCCCCCCCCTTCAGGCAAGATAATTTGGAAAAACTACCAAAATATTGAAAATTAAATTTAATTTTAGAAATCATTCCAGTTCACTAACAAGAAGTTGTATAACAATTTATATTCGAAATATAGGGAGTCGATCATATATGACATTTTGTCATTTTTAAAAAATTTTGTCAAATGTTAAAATTTTTATGTTTTCGCTAAAAAATTGTTAAAATTTGATCAGTTGATTTAATAAGATAGAGGTTTATAGTTTTAATCAGTTCCCTCCTTCAGATTTTATTTTAGAAAAATTCCTATGCCTTCAAAGGCTGGATTGGGATGTAGTAATCCATATAATATCATTTTAATTTTTTTTTTGAAATATTTTTAATTCATTTATATAGATAAAAAGAAAATTTTATAGCATGTTTTTTGTTTACGCCGGAAGGACTTAAATAATTTTAATTTGACATACGGATTTATTTAAATGATGTTTTAACTAGCAAAAGCATTTTTATTGATCTAATTTAAATATATATTTTTTAAAAAATATACATTCTCCAAGGTTGCTTTGGATTGTGTAGTAAATCCACCAATCCCAGGGGAGCCTTCTTTCGTTACCTACGCGCAGGTTTAGATTTGAATATAAATTAATTAAGACCCAAATCTAAATGGGGATAGGTGAGGGGTAGGAGAGAGACAAATATGGGCGGAAATTTTAGTTGTTGTTTAGAAAGCATCTATTTGATTGATTGATTTTTTTTTTTAAAAAAAGAGGGCTGAAATTAAGATTTTAAGTTGAAACAAATATTCGATTTCGCCATAAGAGGGCAGCAATTTTCCCGCCACTACTCGGAAGAATTGTTGAGATTAGTTATTGATTTAGCATTCTCCTTTTCAAATAGACTAAAGGTATTCACAACCCTAGCAAGTTATGCATATTTTAAGGAGTTAAGTGATACTCTCAAAATACATAATTTTTAAGGAATTCATACTTAGTTTGAAAAAAAATATTTCAATAGTGGAAAAAATAAAAAACACAAAAAAAACATAAATTTTGTTTTTTTGGGAAAAAAAAATTTACCCAGGAAAAAGATTCAATTTTGAATGCTCTGAACTTAAAAGCTAAACTGATCAATTCCAGATTGGCTAAGGGAGTAGTGGAGGGAATAGAAATGAATCCCATCCAAGGGGCCATGTACGCTTTTCCGAAAATCTTTTTGCCTTACAAATTCATTCTGCATGCCAAAGTTATCAATCACTCATTTATTTTTATAACAAAATATTCATGAACCTCTTAGCATGAATTATTATCTGTCACATGATAGAATTACTATTGACTTCAAATTGCTATGACGATTATCATTGGACGATTATTTTTTTAAAAAGAAAACTATTGGGCTAAATTTGATTGACATATATATAGATTTTTTATGACAAAATATTCATGAACCTCTTAGCATGAATTATAATCTGTCACATGATAGAATTATTATTGACTTAAAATTGCTATGATGATAACCATTGGACCAATATTTTTTTTAAAAGAATACTATTGGCTAAATTTGATTGACGTTTTTTGAGGATTATATATGTATAGATTTTTTATGACAAAATATTCATGAACCTTTTAACATGAATTATAATCTGCCACATGATAGAATTAGTATTGACTTAAAATTGCTATGATGATAATCATTGGACGAATATTTTTTTTTAAAAGAATACTATTGGGCTAAATTTGATTGACGTTATTTGAGGATTATACAGATAATAGATAATGAGTATAATTGTTATTGAAAATAAATTTTAAAAATGAAAATCCTCCAGCTGGGATTTGGGATCAAATTTTGCCTCAAAATTCCCAGTGTTTTTTTGGGGGAAAAAATAATTTTAAACTTAAATCTTTTTGCGTAGTTTTTAAAAGCATAAAAAATCTTTCATGGTGGAATGGCAAATGATTATCCTTCGATAAATCTAAAAAATCTTCAAATGTTTTCGGAAGATTTTTATTTTATTAACCGTTATTTTTAGCGGGGATAAAATAGATCCGAATCAGCCCCCATTTTGTCTTTTGATAATCGGTCTTTGGGTTTTTTCGGTCATTTAAAAATTGGTTCCTGGGGTCTTCTTGCTATATTATATATTATTGTCAGTTACTTTGATATCCAATCTACTCATTAAAAATAATTAATGCAACCTGAAGATCAGCTCGGCTCAGTTTAAAAAAAAACATGAAAAGATTTTTCTTTTCAGTAAGATTAGACTCCTTAAATTTATTTGAACTCAGCTCGTGGGAAAAAACTTTGTAAGAAATTACCCATTGACCCGTGAAATTTTTTATGTGATGTCCGATGGAAAAACCATGATTTCTTCTAAGAAATATATTTTAATGTAAGAAATAATAATAAATCTTCAGAAAAAGTTCAGTCAAAATTATGGCGCAGATCTTTACTTTTTACGATTTTACGGCTATTTTGGATCACGTGATCACATGATCCCATTGTTTAGATAATGTTTAAGCCAGTTGACCAAAGGATCAGTGCGCATGGCCAGACCGGACCTCGATCTGCATGTCGCTAATCACCTGGTCCGTGAGGCTGCCTGAACCGAGCCGTCCATCTATATTTCCTCTAGTACATCATTTTCAAAATTTTATCGCGATTATTTTTTAAATTAATTGTTTATACGAATATTACTATTTTTTATATACATATATTAAAAAAGAAAATTAATAAGAAGGCCGATTTTTTATTCGCCGAGATGCTGTTGGAGGAAAAAGGTTTAGCGCTTTTACCCGGTTCCGGTTTCGGCTGTAACAAACATGGCGACACTTGGCGCGAAAAATCTTACCCGTTTCATTTCAGAATAACCATTTTACCGGAAATATCGAAATTGGAGAGGTTTTTAAACATATTGATAGAGTTTTACCAGGATTTAAGGATCACCTGGGAAACAACGAATAGATAAGTCCTCATGAGTACCCGTCATTTTATTGATTAGTTGTCATTATTACAAATGTATTTTTATAATCTTTTTCAATTTTTTTTTTATTTTTGAGCACCAAAGCCCCTTTTTAAAAAAAGTTTAATCGTTCTTTACTACCTTTATTTTAAATTTAATATATTTTTATATAATATTTGATTTGAAAATGATGAAAAACACCTTCCACAAAAATAAATCATGTTTTTAGTTAGTCTTATTTTTTTTTTGTAATTGTATGCCGAGTTGCGATCTCGGTTGATTTAGCCGGAATCAGTTCGGGTTTAAAACCCGGGTAGAAAAGGTGAATTCTGTTGTTCAAAATGAGTTAAGCAAAAATGGGTTCGGTTTAGAGCAGTCAATCAAACAGCAAAATGAATGTCAATTATTTATTATCTTAATCCATCCACATTTAAAAAACAAATTTATTCTATCGCATAATAAAACCATCTTCAAACATTTTTACATTGACAAATTATAAAATAATATTGAATTGAATCAAACCAAATTCAAATTATCGCGAAAAATAGGTTTTGGTTTGAGTGACATAATGATTGAAAATGAGTTTCAGTTCAGGCAAAATGCTTTCTGAACCTGGTTCACGCTATCAATTTACGGTTCTATTAGAAGCCTGTTTAAATCTTAATTTAAAAATTAAGTTCCGTACAAATTTTTAAAAAAATTGGTATAATATAATATATTATTCTATATGTTAAAGTGAGTAGGGAGTTGTCAAATATAATATTTATTTGATTTAATTTAGAAAAAAATATCACTATACAACTATAAATTATATGTATAATCTTGCTGGCCAGTAATCTTTATGTTCGATTAATTACATTTATGTACTTTTACAATCAATCAAATACTTCATCTTGTGTCACGTGAATGAAATAATATAATATACGTGATAAAAGCGTTTTCGCCCTCTCGTTGTAGATACAACAGAGCTTCGTTAGGTTATCCTCAAATCCATCAAACTGGATAATTAATTAGGGGGAGAAAAATGAGGAGCCCTCCACACGTTTGTGGGCAAGCCGCATGTACTAGTAGGCGCAACATTTCGAAAAATGTTGCTTAAACATCTATAGGCTTATTAAAAAGGAGTGGGACAAAAAAACCTATACCCGAGAACTACAACTTTAAAGGTGGGTGAGGGCTTATTTTAAGTTTAAATTCTTTAGTGTAATGATTACTATCAATAAGAGATTTAATGTTCATAGAATCTGTAAATATAATATGATTAAAATAAAAAATATTTGCCTAATCAGTAGATATAGTATTATTTTTTATTAATGATTCAATCCATACAATACAGTATTATCACTTCATAAATGTATAATATGTTAGTGAATGAAACAAATAACAATTTATGCTACACAACACCTAGTATAAATAAAATAATTATAAATATAAATCTATATTTAACAATAATATATAATTTTAAAAATATTTTTAAAAAAGAATAACACCAAATTTATGGATTTTAAAGAAAATAATTTTCTACCCCTACATCGAATCGGGAATTTATAAGGCCAAGGTTAAATAATTTTTCAGAAGCATGATTTTTCAAAAAAAAGTATAATGAATTCGTTTTTAACGAAAATAAATCTCTTCTGATGATAATAAAGTAATGAATAAAATTCCATTTTTTTTGGTCTATGGAAAGGAAGCGTATTATCGATTTTTTTTAAACATATTTCTATCTTGGATAATAAGGACCCATTTAGTATAAAAAACCATGCTGTATACATATAAGAATTATTAGTGTATATTAAAAAAAATAGAATTAAAAAAAATATGTATAAAAGAGTATCTAAAAAAACATAACTTGAAAGGAACTATGAAAATATGAATATTAAGTTGAGCAGATCCATTTAAAATACTAATTTCGTTGTCTATGATATGTTTGCAAACTTAGTAATAGAGAAATTCCTTATTTATGCTTATTAGTATATTTGCCAAAATATATAGTAGTTTTAATATTTAGAAAAGCTCTAAAATATATTTTAAATATGCAATGCTTCAATGGCGTTTCTTGAAAAATAATTTACTGAAATTAACCATTCATGCTAAGATCTAAATTTTATAATTTATTTCCCATCAGATGCTTTGATATGCTCTGAATAAAAAGTGAATATATGTTTAGATGAATTGCTAGATAATTATATTTATAAGTTAGATTGAGTTATATGATATGACGAATCATATATCGTTCATTGATTTGGGTCAAGAATGCATCCAAGAGTAGTGCAAAAACAGTTATTTTGTAATAATCTTTAATCGAAGTCGCGTTTATGTTAGAACGATGACTCTATTCCCGCTCTTCCACCAGATGTTCGCCTCCGATGTTAGACATTAACTTAATCTAAATAAAGAACTTTTTGCATAAACTTTTATCATTACACCTCTCTTGAATTTCAAAATGTAATACTAAACTTATATATGTCTAAATTGAGATATGCCTATTTGGGGTAAATATATTAGAGCATAAATAGAGTACCATACTGTGATGTTCAGACATTTTTGCCGAAACTGCGAATTACTCTTAATATATATTAATTTTCTATAAATTAAAAAAATACTTAAAAGTTTATGACAAAATTGTCTGAAATTTATAGGGCAAATAGAATTACACATGCTAGAATAATTTTAATATTAAATTAATGATGGAAATACATAGTAACCATTATGATACATATAAGTTTAATTTTATATTACATAATGATCCTTCTGTAAAAAGTATAAGTTTATATAAGGAAAATAATGAGTAAAGCTTGAATGTTAATTGAAATAAGTTTAGAAAATAAATCGCTAGTTATTCGATTTTATGTAATAAAGGTTTTTCATTTAAGTAACAATTTGAATAAGTTATATAATTGATGAACATAAATAAATAGCATATGGTATACAATTATTTTTAAAATTAATTAAATAATACTATATATTAATAAATAAATGAATGTATCAGTCATATATTAAAACAGTCAGATTTATTTTTAGAAAAATTAGTAAGTTGTTAAAAATAAAAAGATTTTGAGTTCACGTTTAATTACATATCTCAATGCTACAAATATATAAAATATTATTGCTTTTATGTATAATCAATTGATTATTTTTTAGATCATATTTATTTAACTCAATCTATTAATGAATCGATTATTTTTTGTCAGATATTAATTGAATCGTTTAATATATATAGAGCAATTCAATTAATATAATATTAATTTAAGTTCTATCATATGAATTTTTTTATCTAAATAAAATATTATATCTTTAAACCTGATTATTAAGTTATTTTTTGTTTTTCAAAATTTAAACCAGGCATGGTTTAGCTCGAACCTTTTGATATTATTTGTTCGGTTATACAAGAAATGAAGTTGAAGGCAGCTAAACGTGCTAAGAAATCTTCAATGCCCGAGAAGTTAGAAAAGGAAGTTCTAAATGTATATATAAAGGATTAAATAAAATTGATTATATAAAATAATTAAGGCTGTTAATAGACCTTTAAATTGGACTAATAAGCAGCGGGTATTGTTAATGTGTTCAAGAGGTATTTCTTTTCATGGTCGACATTTAATGAAGAACTTCCATAAAATGATGCCTCATTCTAAAACAGGTAATATAATTTTAAAAAACTTATGAATTATTTTTCATCCTAATATAATAAGAGTCTAAATTAGAGAAAAAAGAATCTTTGGTATCCATAAATGAAGTAATATAATTATTTTTTAAATTCAATAATTATTAATAGATTGCTGACATGAAAAATTGTCAAAACTGTATTTATCTAGAAATGAGGAAAAAAAGAGACCTTTATATGTGGTATGTTAGTATCATTATATATGCAGAATAGGCAGTATGATTTTTTTAGGATCTCAAAAATACCCAATGGCCCTTCAATAAAATTTTCTGTAGAAAATATCCATACAATGGAAGAGCTCAAACTTGCAGGGAATTGTCTTAAAGGATCAAGGCCAATTCTTTCATTCTCATCAGTATATTTTAAATTATATATTAATTTTCTCTCGGGACATTTAAGTTTAAATATCTGACTTAATATAAAAAAATTTGATAGTTTTTTTGTGAAGCAATTGGTGGGTAGAATTATAAGTAAGGATAACAAATTTTAATTATAAATCAGGACCTAATAAAATAAACAAAATAGGCCTAGCCAGTTTTCTTAAACAAAAATTAGGGCTGTGCCGATATGAAATATTGGTTTGACACCAATATTGGACTTTAGAAAAAATAGATTGAACCTTTTTAAGATACTTATTTTATACATTTTTTAAATTAATTTTTGAATTAATTCTCATTATAAATGTTCATAACTCCCATAAAAACTGGTAAACTAAGAAAGAAGTAAAACATATTAGTTAACTAATATAAAATGTTTATTTCATTGTTTTTTTTATTATGAAAGAAATTTTTATAAAATAAAAATAATGCAAATTTAAATTTTCATTAATAAGGATATCAATATTTTTTATCTCCAAATTTTTTATTATTTTATTAATATATATTTAATTTGTTTTTTTTACTCAAATAATGATACATAGTTTGTTATACAGAACATTTAATATAAATTATACGTATGTTGCTAGCATACAAATTTATACTTTATTTGTATTAAGGCTAAAATAGTTAAGTGAAAATTATGATCATCATTAAAAAAACAAAATATGGAAATATATTTAATTATTCTTTAAGGGATATATCCTAATAAAATAAGACTTTATATACCATATTTCTTATAAATACAAACCTTTAATATTTAAAGATTGGGGATTGATATTTACCATTTAAAAAAATTGACAACATTTTAAATACATTTTATCATTCATCATACAGTTCCAAATATCTTTAAGCCCATAATATTCGGTTAAATTTTGAAGTGTTCCTTGTTTTTGCTCTTAGTTTTAATGGCATCGTGGTTTAAAGATGGATGTTAAATTAAGATTAATCATTGATCGATTTTCGCATAAATATAAGGATCTGATTGGACCAGTTGAAAAATTTAGGAAATCGTTGAAGAGCAAATATTTGATTCTAATCTTTCACATCAATATAATCATTTCGCAAACTATACGCTGTGCCGAAAAATATGATCTGGGATTAGGTCTATCGTATTTTTATAAATTATGTGCATGTCTTGGTTGGGCCCAGATTTGAATATTTCTATAAGCTTGGGACAGTTACCAAAAGATCTTGACCCATGCAAGACTCTGATTGGACACGATTGCTATTCGAGATCAATCCCGATCAAGAATTTTTAAGAAAAGCTTATTCTGCCTAGCCAGCAAATTTGTTTTTTTAACCCGGCCCATTTTAAAAAGAAAATATTGGACATCTTCCTCCGCTCTACCTGTAATAAAAAAAATACCGGAAGTTGTGAAAAAATTTATACACCAATTTCCGGTTCCAAGAAAATCACTTCAAAATTAAAAGCAAAATTAATAAATAAATATCAATTTTTGATCATTTACTGGGGGGGCCATTCTTAAATTTCAAAAAATCGGTTTTCGATCGGAAAAGTATTTCGGCCGAGTACTCCACTCGTTGAACTTCAGACGATTTGGTTTTGAACTCTTGAACCTCGCCTAAATTTTTTTTAAAATAGGTACATAACTTTCCGCTCTTCATTCACAGTTGGCGCGAATTCGCGCTAATTTTCTGAAATTTAACTTTGTTAGAGATACTCTTCTACGTTCTGATACACATTTTCGTTCAAAACGCAGATTTAGAATTTAATATGGCCCCCCAGTAAATGATTTAATTCTGAGGAGATTACAAATCTCCATAGATTACCTTATCTCAATAGCGACATTTAGAGAAGTCTTCCCTAAATTAATCATTGCCATAATATTCTAATCTTTCACGACTTCGCAAAATAATTTTCGTGGTATCAGGACTTTGACAAAATCCCGCATCTCAAGTTGATGAAGTGCGTATTGACGGACGTGTTCAACGTGCCCTTGAATCATCCCAGAAGTAAACCCTTTGTTGACCACGTGATACAAATTAGTCAGCTGAACAATCGTTTATGGTTCCGTAATTATCAAATAGTGGATCAAGAAAAATTTGATTTGACCGAAATTGGTAAGCTCCTTTTTAAAAAAAAAACACTATTCACAATGATCTCGACAATCCAGTGTCTTCCTGTCCGGGACGAGAGGAAAATGCCTACAAAATATATTGTCATTTGGGGGGGGGGGGGGGTGAAATTTATTTTTAAGGAGTAATTTTTGATTCGAATTATAATCTTTTTAAATCCATATGTTGATTTTCTTACAAACGTCAATTAAAGAAAAGATATTTTTTGTACCATTTTCAATTACCATTAAGTTAGTATTTTACAAGTTCACACGTAAAAGTATCGATACCCTATTTGATTTCTTAGAGGTTAATATATGATTAATTTCAGTAACAAATTTCCAGATTTTTTTTTTACCAGAATAAATTTTGATTATCAATTGTTTCTATCATAAATTACATATTCTACCAGTATAGATCTATTTTTTACAATATAATTATATAATATTGTTATAATAAAATAAGTCATGCACAAAAACATATAATACCTTAAAATATCTGGCGAAAAATAATAAAAAAAATTATAATATTATTTAAAAAGTAAAGTGAAATGTGATTATATTAATTATAAAACTTCTAAAATAAGAATTGGCAAGATAAATGAACATTATAAACATAAGCCATCATCATGTCAAGTCAGCTGATATCAAATATACGAAGATCGCCATCAAAAAAGCATGCAGTATCACAAATGGAGTTGAAATCCAGTTATCATCAACAACATCTGACTTCCAAAAAGTAAAATTTTGTGATATTAATAGAAACTAATTCTTCACCTAAAATTTTATCTGAATAATAAGATTTTCATAACTAAACAAATTTTAACTACTTTTTCATAATTGCTGTAGGCCCTTGTCACCCATGTTCAAATATATTTCAATATCCTGTTACTCACAAGGTTTTAAAAGAATGTAGAATTTTCATGAATTTTTACTCACCCATATACCAGTATTTGATTACATTTTAAACACGAGCATGAATATAATTGGCCACTCAACCCGAGAAATTGGTTATCCTATGGCACCACTTTGACAAAAGTCTTTTGTGTATATTGTATTATGTTTGGTTGCCCTAAATCCGATACTTTTTGGACTCAACTTGGATTAAATAACCGGGAAACCCTTAAGTGTGACTCAGAGAGACATGAGTCATCTTCTATTCATAAGGATTGCGAATAAGCGAACATGACTTGACTTGCAAATAAGCGCATTCAAGATTATTTGTTATCAAATATAGATTGCTCTTTGAGTCTCTTTCATCATTTCTAAACTCCTCTCATATTCCTTGCATCAGAAAGACTAAAATCCTTAAGCTTAGAAAAAAAACATGTTTCTTTATATTTTTCCCCAGTGATTTCTGATGTTGTAAAAACATGTACGATCCTTTCTATAGGATGTGAATGCAGGTCATTCTTCTATATGATAACGTAGAAACAAAGCTACGCATTTATTGTGTCCCAAAAGGCTATATTACATTATCTAAGGTACATTATGGCATCGATAATATTATGAACTATATTACTATTTTCCATGATGCTATCAAGCGTATCTGATAGCAAATGATCTTGAATGCGCTTATTTGCAAGCCAAGTCATGTTTGCATATTCACAATCCTTATGAATAGAAGATGACTCGTGTCTCTCTAAGTCACGCCTAATGTTTTTACAGTTATTTACTCCAAGTTGAGTCCAAAAAGTATCGGATTTGGGGCCACCAAACGTAATACAGTATAGACAAAAGACTTTTGTCTAAAGTGGTGCTATAAGATTACCAATTTCTCGGGCCCTAGGGAACCATCAATATTAACCAGTTATATTCATGTTCCTGTTTAAAAAGTAAAAAAAATAGAAATAAAGGATGGGTAAAAAATTAATGAAAATTTTATAATTTTTTATAAAAACCTATTGTGAATAACAGGATATTGGAATGTATTTGAACATGGCTGACATGGGCCTACAGCAATTATGAAATTAATCAAAATATTTGTCATTCTAAAATAAAGTGAAATGGGTCATTGGATTCCATTTTTTTATATATATAACTGAATAAGATTTAGATCCTAAATACCTCATCATGCAAAGTCAGCAGATCACTGGAACTTGGCATTGGATGCAAAGAAAATATAATTTGGGAATCTTCAATAATGGTTGTTTGCTTATTATTAAATATTTAAAGTATTCTGATAAAATTTTAAATGAAGAATTAGTTTCTATTAATTCACAAAATTTAAGGTAATATTTTCAATTTATATTTATTGTCTTTAATTTATAATGATAAATAATAAAAAAAAATTTACTTTTTGGAAGTCAGATGTTATAGCCATTTTTTGTAACAAGGTTTCAACTCCATTTGTGATATTGCATGGAATATCGAAGTTTATGGACACCCAATTATTATTATCTCTTTTTGATGGCTATCTTTTTTAAATTTGATATCAGCTGGCTTGACATGAGCATGGTTTATGTTTATAATGTTCATTTATCTTGTCACCACTTATTTTAGAAGTTTTATGTTTAATATAATCACATTTCACTTTACATTTATACATAATATTATGTGTTTTATTATTTTTCGCCTGATACTTTAATGTCTATGTTTTTATGCATGACTTATTTTTTTATATATATATATTATATAATTATATTGTAAATAATAACTGGTAGAATATGTAATTTCTGAATAGAAACAATTGATAATTAAAATTTATTATTGAAATTAATAACATCTATTAACTCCTAAGAGGATCTTGATACTTTTACGTGTGAACTTGTATAATACTAACTTAAATGGTAAATGAAAATGGCCTTAAAATTCGAAGAAAAAAAAATTTATAGTTTATATTGTTTATTAATTGACATATCTTTTCTTTAATTGACATTTGTCAGAAAATCAACGATTATCATCGTTATCATATCAATTAATGGATTTAAAAAGATTATAATTAATGTCAAAAGTTATCTCCTAAAAATCAATACTTACCCCCCCCCCCCAATGCCAATATTTTTGGAGGCGTTTGTCACCAACCCCCCCCCCCCCTCCGGCCATGTAGACACTGCAGCTAATATACCTCTTTTTATATCGTTTTTTATAGATATATATAGGTATGTTATCTCATTTAATACAATTATATTTATTTTTATGAAAATAAAGTGATTATCAACCCTAATTATGAAAAGATTGCATTACTTAAAATATAAGTTGATTATCACCGACAAATTTTTATTTTCTCCTATAGGCTTGACTTGAAATATTGAATTGAATTATGTTGTAAGTTTATAATTTAAGATTCTTTTTAGCATTATAGCATCGCGGCCTTCTTCTACGAATTTATCTTGGGGGGGGGGGGGTAATGAGTAGATTTTGGAGAGGGGTTTGCCGCCATGTAGACGCTGCGATAATCGAATTATGCATATATGTCAGCGACGCGACAGTCTGATTTTACCGGAAAAGTATTCTATCATGCTTAGAGTAACCACCCTATAATCTACGGAAAAAAACAAATATAAATTATATTAAGTTCATAACCCCGTGGTAAAATTATCTGAAATTCATAGGATGGGTATTCTAAACATGGCGGAATTCATTTCCGGTAAAAATCAGATTATTTTTTAAAAAAATTTAAAAACGCGCTCAAAAAAATGATTTAAGGCGGGAAAAAATAAACATATGTATGATAATTTAATTTTTTAAAGAATATCTAATAGTTATATATTTTTTTAAATAAAATCTAAGGCCCGCGTTTTGTTTTGAATCCAATCAAGATTTTCAATGGGAGCTTCAGTGGAATCACTCTGTGGGACAATCCCAAATATCTTTCGCCCAACATTGTAAGAGTATTACTTATCTTAAAGCTTCGTTCCTTCTGAAATTGTTTTTTGTATCGAGATAAGTTATAATCCTACACGAGGATCCCTGAATCCTAACCTAATAAATCATTTTGAGGGTGCGGTTAATTTATGTGCCTTCAGAATTTTACCCAATTATCGTGAAGCTCTTATATAAATTTGAAATGGTTAATAAGCGAAATCGTCCGATACTCAGAGTTATCACATTTTATATATGCCCGAAAAACATTTTTCGGGTAGTGTTGTTAAACGGCTCGATTTTAGCGGATTTTTTCAAAACGGCTAACTCGATATTTTAGCCGGAAAAATATTGCCCAAGCGTAATATTTATTTTTCTCGGATATTGAGTTACCCGTTTTTGAAATTCGGATCAAAACTAGCCGTTCTACAACACTAATTTCCAGAATCAGCTGTTTTTCAAATTTTAAAAAGTGTCCTTCATGAGTGATTTTAAAATTTAGAAATTCTCAATCCTCGTAGAATCACATATCCTAAATATGACATAAATATATATATATTTTTTATTTCTTCTAAATTTAAGACACACAACCAATATTTAATATTATTTTTTTTTTTAGAGATTCCATATGCTCAAGAAATCTTTGTCGGAAAAATATGTCAGAAGAACGGAAGCCAAGAAGCAAATTTCGGCTAAAAAAATGAGTTACACCGACGAGACGGTCGAAAAATTTGACGATATTTATGATTGAAATCATTATTGAAAAATTGTCAAAAAAATGATAATGTTTGAAAATGGCTGCCTGACATTTTTGTTTTTGTAAAATTATTATTTTGAGTTAGACCGGAAATGACAATTTTATAAACATATACTCGTTAATTTTCAAAGTAACTATTTACTTTTTTCAGAAACAATATGCATCTGATGTGGCCAGGAATGTGAACCCGAACGGTTCAGAAATTTAAAATTGTTTAGTTGGGCATTTTAAGACCACAGACCAAACAGAGGCTAATTTATGTATTACGTTGTGCCGTACAAGTCCGGTTAAAAAACAATACTCCGAGTATAATAATTTTATTGAACTTCCCAAAAATAAAAAATGAATTATTATAAAATCTACAAATGAAAATTATAAACTAAAAAAAAAATTATTATTTAATTAATAATAAAAAATAGTAGTTAAAAAAAATTAATTTAAAAAAAAAATGAATTGATAATTTACAATTTTCGCTTCCCTTTTATAGGGAAGCAATAATCATCACAAATAATTAATAAATCCCATCATCATAATGACTTTACAATGATTAACTTTTATAAATCTAAAAATAAAATGTTAACGCGATTAAACTAAAACATAAAATTATAAAAATAACAATGACCACCAATTTAACTAAAACATAAAATTATAAAAATAAAAATGACTCATCAAACGCAATACATACTGACTTTACCAAAAATCAAATTTTACAAATCAGTCTCCCAATTATGACATTATGAAAACCCGGGGTAAAGTAAACATGGGTCGGGTTCCTCCTTGGAAAATCGTTTTCGATTAAGTTCCCGTTATCAAAATTTCCGCTAAATAGAGTTGTTAATTCTTGAATCCAGGTTTAAGTTCACATCCCTGAATATTACTATTTATTTTATTTTTATTTTTTCAATTGAAAAAGTAATTCCATTATTTTATTGGTTGGATTCCCAAAGTGACAATTAGAAGCGATAATCTTCTATAGAAAAAAAAAGAAGTATATAGCAAAAGATTAGTTATTATGACAATTCATACATAATAAAAAAATGAATAAAATTACTATAATTTCTATATATCTCCCTCGATTAAAACTACTTAGATTTTTTTAAATGTTATTTTATATGATTAATCAATTTCACAATTTATATAAAAAAACCAATCATATTTAAATATAGAATAGGGCATTATGATGATTCAATAGGGTAATTTAATAGATAAAAAGTAAATCTTCTTTTCGTTTTGCGTTTTCAACAACTTGTCTGTATTGGGAATTGATCGTCGATGCACGTTAAGCAAGAACTAGTCCAATCAATTGATTATAGAATGTCATACTTTCGAGACATGTTTTTTTTAAACCTAATAAAGAAAGGGACTTTTTTTTTATTTGATACCGTAATTTTTAATTTACATTTCAAAATTATGTAAGCTTCGAAATATGGCGGAGGTTTATTCTGCCATCTATGGGCAAAATCTTCCAGCATACATATTATTATGGCTAAAATCTTGATCGGGCATTAACAATACTAATCCTCTTAATATAACTCGAGTTAAATATTTAATGATTTCAAATATTGAGACTTGATGTTGATGTATGGTCCATATGATTTATAGGTAACCATTTGTAAATTGGGTAAAGCTAAATCACGAATCATAGGATTTTCTAGTTATCCTCAATTGAAACCTCGGAATAACGATTTAAGTCGAATAAATCTAATAATTTTTAAAATGTATATATCAATCACTTATTTTTCTTAAATAGAGTTAAGAAAGAGTTATTTTTGATCAATAATAATGTTAACAATGAGAGATAATTTTTTGTAAAAAAATAAATAATTTAAGGAACAAAAAAATTAAATTTGTAACTTTTAAATAAAGGGTAACACTCACGCATCACGAGCTCTACTTGATAATATTTTAAAATATATTATAGTAACAAATATAAGAAAATAAATTTAATTATTTTGGGCTACACAAAGTCATAAGTTTTAAGTAATTTCTATCAACTTCATGCCTTTTTTAAATTTTGTTGCAAATTTTATTTCCGGTTATTTATTTTTGAAATTACTTTTATTTAACCCTTCAATACTCCGGTGAAAAAAATGACGTTAGTACTCCGGTGGGGTTTAATAGACCCCAATTTCAAATGTATATATGTCCAGTTATATTCATTATTTTGATTTAATATTTGAATATAAGATAGAACTAACCTTAAACTTTATAAAATATTTATTTATTTTTATTTCTTAAGTTTAGATTAAAGATGGTGAGGATAATTATAATTTGTGCCAAAATTTTCTAAAAAAAAGCTTACTTTTTTTAAATTAGAAATTAAAAAAATAACTTATCCATCATATAATCCTGATAATTCATAACATGGATCTTTATTCTTCAATATTAAAAAAAAATTACACTGATAAATTCAAATATAAAAAAAATATTGAACATTGAAATATGTTAAATTTGACAATCAAAACATTTGTTACATAAAATATTAATGTGTTCTAAACATAAATTTATTTTGCATATTTGACAAAAATATTTATTTCTAATGTGTGTTGCTTTGTCTACCACCTTTCTCTCTTCTCTTGTTAATATGTCATCAAATCTCATTGCATGAATTAGAAATCTGAATCTTTTAAGAGGCATTGTTACTCTAAATATATCAATTCCAAACCCATAAGATTTCCATAAATCAGACATATTTTGATGGTTAGATTTAAAAATTCCAGCTAAATAAAGAATTCCCAATAATGCTTTGAATTCAGTTATATCAACTTCTTTTGTAGAACTTTCATATTGATTATAATTTTGACTTACAACTTTTTCCATTGAGTAACCTTATTTTTAGCTAATTTTAAAGAGAAATATACTATGATAAATGATTTTATATTTACCTAAATAATACTTAAGCTTATTATCTGTTTCAGCTAATATATCTTCTTCTTCATCTAATTCAGATTGTGTATCATGATCACTATCATACATAATATCTTCATCCTCACTATTAATTATATTATCCAAATCACCTCAAAAAAAAATATTACATTTATATATTTTATATTTACTTTCAGAATCTGCAAAAATCATAGTAGATGATAGAAATAATTTAAATTTGTTGGAGAAAATAAACATAAAATAACTCCATCAGAAAAAATATTTGTGTTTTCAATTTCATATATCTCATTCAAAATATGTTATATTCAAATTTCGTTTTAATAAATTTTATAATATAGTGGTTAAAGAACTGCAAAGTAATTTTTTCGCAACCCGAGCCCGACCCGAGCCCGAATTAAAAAAAATTTTTTGTCCGAGCCCGACCCGAGCCCGAGCACACATTTTTTAATCCAACCCGACCCGAGCCCGACCCGAATAAAATTTTGCAATTTAAGTTTTAATATTATAATAACCAAAAAAAAATTTATGTGTATTTATTCAGTTCAGCCACCTTAAATAAAAGTTTATTTGACGGCCATAATCTATTCAAGATATTTGCATTTTTAAAATTTGTAAAAAATATTATAAAACGATTAATATACAAGCGAATTTAAAAATTATAACGATTATATAATAAGCATCATTTATGCGAATATAGATATGATGTAAAAGTTAATAAATATATAAAAAATATAATGAACATATTATATTATATATTGACCTCATCAATATCATTATCAAAATTATCACAAAGTGAATAATTATGATATATAAATAAAGAGGCGTCCAGTTTATCTGGCTTTAAACGAGTCCTTCTCTCCTCAAAGGCCCTACCAGCAGCTGAAAACGCCCTTTCACTGCTAGCCGACGAAGCAGGGATAGCCAGGAATTTAAGAGCTAAAATACTTAAATTTGGAAACTCATAATGGTTTGTTTTCCACCATTTTAAAATATTATCGTCATCAACACATAATTTCGGATCTAGATATTTTTTTAGCTCGTCAACTTCGGCGCTAGCATCAGAATACGCATTGTCAGCCTCCCATAGAGAGAAGTCCAAAAACGTATCTACCACCTCTGTAGTTTCTTAAGAAAAAAATATTCAATAATAATATTAAGATATATATTTACATTATTATTTTTTAATAATTTTACATATTTGATGATTAATATTTTTTTTGATATATGATATTTTTTTATAAAATTTATGTAATTATCATTATTCAACATTGATTTAATAAAATTTGAATTTTTTGAATTTTATTTAGTGATAATAAAATAATTAAAGGAAGTACTGAAAAAGAAAATTTTATTTCAGTAATTTTAGGAAAATTTGTCTAACTTTTTTTGGAAGTAAATATTAATCTAAGATTTTGTATTTATTATCTCCAATATTTTTTAAATATATACTCAAAATTTTAGATCTCAATTTTTAATATGTTTTGAGATATATCTAATCAAAATTTGGGGTAAAATAGACCCCACCTTTGTAGTTAAGGGAGTTTTTTCTACCTTTGTAGTGAAGGGTTAAAACAAATGTTAAAAAAGACAATGTATAGGCTAGTTAAATAATAAATAAAACTTACATAAAATATGTCTTATCTTGTAATTTACGAGAAACACAATTTAGTAATAAAATAGTTTGGTATCGGGTTGTTAGGTTTATAAAATAATAATTAATAATGACATGACATGTTAATATGATTGACATTTTAATCCTAAAATGTGATAAATATTAAATAATATGATTTTATAATTAATATTATAAATTATACTAACTATTTAAGATATTAATATTATTATATATATTTTCGGGTCGGGTCGGGTCGGGTTTTCGGGTCGGACAGCTTTTACAACCCGACCCGAGCCCGAACCCGAGAAATTTTTTTTGATGTCCGAACCCGACCCGAGCCCGAGGCTCGGGTCGGGCCGGGTCGGGTCGGGCCGGGTCGGGTCGGGCCGGGTCGGGTCGGGCCGGGTCGGGTCGGGCCGGGTCGGGTCGGGCCGGGTCGGGTCGGGTCGGGTCGGGCCGGGTCGGGTCGGGCCGGGTCGGGTCGGGTCGGGTCGGGCCGGGTCGGGTCGGGCCGGGTCGGGTCGGGCCGGGTCGGGTCGGGTCGGGTCGGGTCGGGTCGGGCCGGGTCGGGTCGGGTCGGGCCGGGTCGGGTCGGGCCGGGTCGGGTCGGGTCGGGTCGGGTCCGGGTCGGGCTACGGACAGCCCGTGCAGTTCTCTAATAGTGGTATATATTTATAATTATAAAAGTTTTAAAAAAAAATTACGAATTTACTCCGGTGAGGTCTCACAAACCCCAAGCAGTCACAAAATGCTTATATGTTAAAAACTACTCAACCAAAATATGTGAAATTTGGAATATAGATTCTAGGATATATTTGATGAAGCTACTGAAGAATCCAGATCATGATAATTAACCGTTTTTATGCAATATCATTTCCAGCATGCCTGGGGTTTCCTACACCCCACCGGAGTATTGAAGGGTTAAAGAATATAGAGGTAGTAAATAACACTAAATATTAGCTCTAAAAAAAATTAACACCACTCATTATTTAGCTAAGTAACTAAAGGTTAATTTACCCCGTTTCCAGTTTAAAGATCAATTAGGTAAATCACTAAATATTAACTTGAACTAGAATATGATTGCTAAAATTTTAGATTTATGGTAAAGTGTCAAAACCTTTCTATTTTGCTTATAACTCACGAACCGTTAATTTCGCCGGTATATGGGTTTAAAGATTCTGGAGGAACGATTATCGCACTACATATTGGGATAAATTTCAGAATTTGATCTTTAATTTTTTTAAAAAAGTCATTCTGCAAACTTCACGCTTTTAAAATGGCTATAACCCGATAATGGTTAGGCTACGGTTATCAATTTAGGAGAATATGTAAGAACAAATGAAGTATTAAATACGGGTCAAGTTTCAAAATAAGCTCTTTGATGTTGGCTGAACAATTGGAAGTACTAACACTGATATGCCATTTTTAGGGCCTTCAATCCATAAAGTAGTCGAAGTTAAGAAAAACTCTGTTTTGGTTATTTTAATTTCGGCCACTAAACTGATTCTAGCACTAAATCTACTAATCGAGTACTAAAGACAGATATTTATTATTAATGCTTCCATAATTTCATAGGTCAATATTTGACCTTGAAACATTTATAGTGCTTATATAAGGCAGTTAACCAGATGAATTACGGAATTTAAATAAAACTAATTAACCACTAAATAATGGCTAAGATGGGATGTTTGGTGCTTAATAATAATGAAAGGATACCATGTTCCCGCCATATATTAAATAATATAATGCATTAAATTTTTAAGTATAATGGTTTAAAAAAGTTACTGTTAAATTTTAAGCAATTCACATTAAACAAGCTAAACCATTTCATTGAGCAACGAGATGGAATTGGTAAAAAGTTTCTTAAAATATCATGATGGAATACAAGTTTACCAACAATTTAATAGATTAACAGCCAATGATATAAATATCATCATACACCAATTAAATAATTTTTATCACTATTCAAATACTTAGATATGTCAGATTCTTATGAAGTTTCTATATGAAAACAAAAATAAATCCTAAGAAACAGGACAATATCTCTTTAAAGGAAAGATTATTTATGCAGCTACTATATATATTCTAAATGAAACATTTAGAGAATTTGTAATTATTCTGATTATTATGAGGCAACAACATGTACTGATGAAAGTTGTTAGAATGAAATTAAAAGATTTATAAAATAAATAACAATGAAAATATTTTGAAGTTTTGGAAGCAAGAAAATTCATTTTCTTTTTTTTGAGAAAATTTGCAAGTAAAAAATTTTAATTGCCCTGGCAAATTCAGTTTCTAATAGTAAGATTATTTTTCCTATAATCAATCTCTTATTAGAGGAAAGTCAAACACATTTAAAATATAAAAATATGGACTTCTTCCTTATTTAAAAAAGAATTTTGACTTGTAAATAATAATTATTTTGTTTGTTAATATGGAATTAAGACTCGGAACATATTCAAAAAAGTGTAATAAGTAGCGATAAAGTTTTGGAAATTTTAGAAAAAAAAAATTTGAAAATCATAAAATTTTTGGGTGTTCTAAGAATATTGTCTTTCATGAGCAGGTAGGACAGATTAAAAAAATCTTAGCAGCAAATGTGAAAGAGAATGATTTATTTTGCAAATGTGAGTGAGCAGGTCATGGATAAACCATCTCTAATATTTATTTATTTTTAAAAAAACTATTAGCCAGCAAGTACTATTTAAAATTGAATATGTATTTGTGAGCCATTTCTATATAGCTTACTCAAATAAGCAAACTCCACCATTCTCTATCAATATAACAAAAAATTAAGGAAACATTTAATATATTTTATATTGACTTAAATTGACATTCAATTTAATTAGCTATAAAATTCATGTCATCAATAATAATCTATTTTTTTTCTATACACAATAAGGAAACCTATAACAGGCACTTTGATTAAATTGGTATTTATTTCAAGTTCAAATAATTATTCAAAAATAAATATATATATATAAAAAAAATTAAAATTTCTGAAATTTTTTCTTTTTCGATCCAGAAGCCTTTGTAACTTTCAAAACATTGAACCTAACAGTTTTACTGAGAGGTCTGCATTCTCCAATAGTTACAATATCTCCACTCTGTACATCTCTATATTTTTTTAAACAATAGAAAATGATTAATTTAGGTTCTGATAATAACAAAAAAAATATAATAACCCTCAATACAAATAAACAACTATTTCGCTAGTTTCCTCTCAGGGCTTAAGCTCACGTATACTGATTTTAAAGTAATATTAATAATATTTAGAATACAAAAATATATTGTACCTGAAGCAAGGAGAAAGATGCACAGAAATATTTTTATGCCTTTTTTCGAATCTATTGTATTTGCGGATATAGTGCAAATAATTACGTCTAACTACTATAGTTCTCTGCATTTTAGTCTTTAATACTATAGCTGTAAGAATTCTACCTCTGATGTGTATATCACCTGTGAAGGGACATTTTTTATCGATGTATGTTCCTACAATAGCCTAAACGTTATTTTTAAATAAAAAATTTTTTAGCACAACATTTTAAAATTGATAATATAAAAGTTTAATAAATATGCGAAGCAAAAATATAAATTCTTATATTAGGTAAATACTTCTCTCGGGGTCTTGAATCCTAGACCAATATTCTTGTAATATCTTAAACCTTGCTTCTGTTTCTTGACGGTAGCTTTTCTATTTTGAAATATCACTTGTTGCTTTTGAAAGGCTCTTTCAGTCTAACAGGGCCATAAATTAAAATAATTAAGTCATCAATAAAATATATGTTCAATTCAAATTATTTAATAGCATCATCACTGGTTTATAAATTATTTATTATTTCATTCATTAAAAACTGTCTATCACAAAATAATAATATTATCTTAAAAAAAGTACATATATTTAAAATTACATAATATAAATATGCGCAAAACATGAATCATTTTTTAAAAAAAATATTTATTTAAGCTTGAGATATTTCTGATTCAAATTCCTGCAGCAAATTTTTAAAAATGGATTCTTTCGCTTTTGAATGAATAGGTTCTTCTTCATCATTGAAATTTAAGAACTTTTTGCTGGATCTAAAAATTTTGTTCTTCGTGGTTGACAGATGATTATATGGCAAATTATTACAATGAGTTGACTTGAATTGTGGTTTTTTATTATTAGTGTTGTCTGTAGACTTAAAGTCTATGGTTTTACCAGGATATTCAGCAATTGGTTCAAATTTGGCATCTAAATTATTGTATAATGGTTGGATAATATCATTCTTTTTATACATATCAATTTTTTTAAACTTTGGAAAAATATATTTATTTAGTAGCAATATGCTTTTCTGTATCATGTTGGATATTACTAATTGAGAATTGTATAAGTAAAAATTAAAAATATTCCATCTTTTTTGATTGTGTGATTTGATCCAGGTATTAGATTTATAGAGTAACTCTTCAGCAGATGGTCTTAGCTGGGGGTCTGGATTAAGCATCCAACTGATAATTTCAAAAAATTCATCTGAGACTCCAGATTCTTTTATTATTTCAGAAGGTAATATTCCTTTTCTAAGATATAACCAACATTCTCCAAAATTGGGTAAAGATAAATTTGTTGCTAATTCTAAAAGTGTTATTCCTAGACTAAATATATCTGCAGATGTTGAAAACTTACCATTCAATAACTCAGGGGCCATGTATTTATTATCCCCTTCTTGCAAGTATTCGTAATCATTCTCAGTGTCATTATTTTTATTTAAGAGTTTTGAAGCTAACCCAAAATCACCAATTTTACATGCACCACTTTTAAAAAATATATTCTCTGGTTTAAGATCTAAATGTACAATATATCGTTTATGCAATTGATTAAGACCTCTTAAAATATCAACAGTGTAATTTTTAAGTTCAAGTTCTGAGAATTTTGAATGTTTTTTCAAAAGTGTTTCAAGAGTTGAAAGGTTATTATCACACAATTCCATCAATAAAAAATAAAAACCATTTTCGGACCAGGATAAAATATGCTTAACTATGTGCTCGTCTATTGGAATTTCTTTGAATATCATTTCATTATGAATATGTAAATTATGAGATATTTTAAGGGCATATATATCAAGAGTAAACTTATCAAGAACTTTATATACTATACTAGTCAATGTATCAGAAATTTTACATATTATATCAAAATGTTCTTCAAAATAATAGGGACTGTTATTATAATAAGGTATAACAAAATTTGGTTTAAAGTTAAGATTTCTTTGTAATTTTTTAATTTTATCTTTTTTAGTGGAAAACGAATAATAAACATCGCGAATATAACGTTGGTTAGGTGTTGGCAATGTATTTTTATTCATATCACTTATAAACACAATATAATAAAATAACAAGCATAAAGTATTACTTGATCTGCCATATTGATGAAGGAAACGATGGAATATATTTGAACAAATCTCCACTATAAATACAGGAATATTCACACCATAAGAAAATGGTTAGCACTTAATAATTAATAATAAAATATACAATAGTTTATTATATTAACTCATTATCTAAAATTAGGTTTATTTATTTTACATTTCGTTATGTATTGCAAACCTGAGAATAATACATAAAATAATAAACACGACTCTATTTAGGCTAGAGAAATTAGGCATCTCAGAGCTCACTCAGAATTGTATATCCGCCTCCTATACTACAAAATAAAAAGTCTACAATTATTTTGCCTATTATTTAAAAAAATGGTTTAAGATTTGATTTTATATTCGCTTATTTTCTTAATATTTAAAAATCTATATAATCTATTAATATTTAACCTATATTATCTATTATTTCAATATATTTAGACTTAATATTTTGGCCAGATTTTTTTAAAAAATTATTTTTTTCTTTTGCAGGATTCTTTAGTGCTTTATTCTAGGTTGTGAAACATATAATTTCATGTTTTCATTTGAATTTCTCAATATTTTTATTTATCGTATGTCAATCCTAATAGATTGGCGAATAATAAAAAGTGTGCATACATAAGAGTAATATGGCGCCATTTTGTGGTTTGCAGGGCTACTAATTGTCTTACGATTATTACATTAAATTCATGTCGTTTGATTGACGTGCAAACCATAAAATGTAACTACAGTCAGCGTATTATAAGCGGGGAGTAGGGGGTAACAGTATCTTCCAATTTTTTAAAGGAGAGTGAGAAGTAGGCGTCAAGCGGGGGAGGGGGTAAAATGAATTTATTGGGGGGTCATAAATTGAGTTTTTAGATGATATAGGGTATTTTCTGTTAAAAACTTAAATTTTATTTCAGACTTATATAATATATATTTCTAGAAATCGACCAAATCAGTGGCGTATCCAAGATTTTCTTATAGGGGGGGAAAAAATTTTTGGGGGCTTCGCCCCCAAACCCCTTTTATCTGGCCTTCGGCCAGCTTTCCCCGGGCCTTCGGCCGGAGTCTTATTTAGCTATTCTATTAAATTATTCATAATTTAATTATATTTCTATTTTTAACTATTATTTAATAATTCGTGCTTATGGATAGGATATTACAAGCCTCTTTTTTATTATTTCAAGATAGGTATATTATATTTAATTTAAATGTTAAGTTGAAATAAAGTGTAATGTCATTTTTTTTATAAAATTTGCTTTAAAAACTAGCCTCAGCTTAAATTCTCATACAATATAAGTAGAATATAATTTTTTTATTGAAAATACTAATAGTAGTTTAAAATATTGACTAGAAAATAATTAAATTAAAAAGTTTTTTTTAACTTCTTATCAAATACAAGATTTTTAATTATTTCGTTTGTCGTTGGAACCAAATATCTGTGTATATTTAACAGAGCTAACCCATTTAGCCGAGATTCAGTACTTCGTAAATATGTTTTCAACCCTCTCAAGTTGGAAAAAGTCCTTTCATTCGTACATGTTGTAATAGGCAAACATGCAAGAATATAAAACAACTTCGAAATATTAGGAAATTGAGCCAAGGTTTCTTTATACCGATTGAGCGCATCAATAGCATGCTCAGGTAAAATAGCTAAATGTATAAATATTTATACCACAATTCGAATTCACTGATTAAATTTATTTCAGTATCAATCTCATAAGAATAAAATTTTTCTAAATATTTAATTTTACCAATAGTGGCATTAGAAAATGAAGAAGGATCTTTGGGTAATAAAACTTGAAGATTGCTAAAGACATGTTTTTTATCTAAAACCCGTACTTTTATTTGCGATAAAAAAGTATCTAAGAATGGGATGAAAATGGATATTTTATAATATTCTTCATTGAGCCAATATTTATTTTCATCTCAATAATGGCCTAGGTGCTAGACGAGGTTTAATTAGTATTATATCATAAAATTTAGTCTTCGATTCAACGTCTACATTCATTCTTATTGTATCTACCTGTTCATGTATATTTTCCGCCAAATCAATAACCTGAACCAAATCTAAATTTGGTTTTTGTAAATTTCTACAAAGTAGTGAGCTATAAGAAAATAATTTATTGATGCAACTAGCAGCAATGATAAACTCTGATTGATCAATTGAATTCAATAATGATATCGCTGCTAACGACACATTACTTTTTTTTCATGCTCAACCTTATTTATAAATTATCGTTTGATTTCAATCTCTTTGACTAAATATTTTTCCATTTTATTAATATTTTTGAATAATATGTTGGAAAATTGATATTCAAATATTTGTAAAATTTTGATTGGTGGGATGGGGAGGGGGGTCTGGGGGGTAGGGGTAAAATTTTTATTAGCTTAAAATGATATTTATGAAAATAGTCAAATTTGCGATGGGGGGGGAATTTCCCCCTTCCCCCCCCCCCATTGGTTACGCGCCTGGACCAAATATATGCATTACATACAATCATAGTTACTATTTTTCAAATAAAAATTATTTCTGGATAACTTTCAGCTATATTTTAAAATATAATTTAAAGACATTCCATCAGAAAACTCAAATTCATGTCAAACAATAAAATATAATAATGATTCCATCGTAAACAAGGGTAATCAAAAAATTTATTCTAAAAATTAATTTTTCTTCACACTCATTATTTTTGTTAGTTCCACTTTTAACTTTTTTTTGATAGCGAAATTATTCTTTTTGGGGTTGTTCCAAACCATTAAAGCAATCATTTAAAATAAAAATAAGTAAACTCACTAATTTTTTCTATAAAAGAATTACTATAATTTAACATTTTTAAAATTTTTTACTCTAATTAAAATCATTAATAAGATTACTATAATTAAATTTTTTTATAGATTTACTATAATTCTGAATTTTAATAGAATTAATATAATTCAAAATTTAAAAAAAAAACATTTTAATAAAAAATTATAAAAAATCAAATTTTATATAAAACTTGTAATACTATCAAAGATTTTTAATAATTAAGAGCTCCTCCAGTAAAAATTTTTGGAAATTACGGACCTATGTTGGTTCCTAACAAGTAGATACACTTATTTGATATGAGGTATACATGAAAGATACTGTGCGCATTTTTTTGATTTGGCAGAATAGTAAACGTTGCACAATGGAGATGACTTCTGCAAAAATAATTAATACAACAAGTCAAACGTAATTATAAAGATCTAAAACAAAAATAAACATTTTCAATTCATACTACTATTAATTTTGGTTAATCGAATGTTTAGTAAGTTTTCGGTTTTCAGTTTGGCAATCGGTCAAATCATGATATTTTTAAAATCTTTTAAGGGGATAATGTTTTACACGTTTTTATAGATATATAAAACAAAATGAACTTTTTCAATTCATACCAGGGATGTGAACCCAGACCCTGGACCCTCGTAATTTGGCTGAACCCGAACCCAGACCCAGACCCTTTTAAAAAGTGGAGGGTCCAAGGGATCAGGGTGCTAAAAATTTTTTAATTTTTTTTTTTTATAATTTAATATAAAAATATAATTTTTTAAAAAATAATATAAAATTTTTATAATTTTATTAATTTTTAAAAAAATAATATAAAATTTTTATAATTTTATTAATTTTTAAAAAATAATGTAAAATTTTTATTAATTTTTAAAAAAATAATATAAAATTTTTATTTTTAATTTTTTTCGGGGAATCTCCCTAAAAAATAGTCACTTTAAAACTATAATTGATAAAGCAAGGGATGTTGTAAAATATTTAAGAACTCCCACAATTGTAAGAATATTAAAATCCATGAAAAGGTAAATGGCAACTTTAGATTGCACAACACGTTGGTCCTCTATATGTATGATGCTAGAGCGATTATTAAGTTTGAAAGATTTCTGTAATGATTTTATCATAGGAGCATGTGAAATCATTTTGTCAGAAGATGATTGGAATCAATTAAAAGAGCTTACTAGTGTGCTGGTTCCTTTAAAAATAACAACATTAAAAGTGCAAGCAGAACAATTATGTTTATCGGATTTTTATGGCATATGGTTAAGATGTCGATTAGAGTTAGGGAGATTAACAAGTTCTTTAATGAAGTATTAGAAAATACGAAAATAAGAGAGCAACAATATTTACAAAATAGTGTTGTATATGCTTCTATATATTTAGGCCCCCGATATCAGGTTTTATTAAGTAGTGAGCAAAAACAAATGGCTATCGACCATCTTGAAGATTTATGGCATACCCAAAACTCTATTATTTACAATACATTGGTGGTTACAACAATATCTACTGGTTGTAGCGATAACAATGATAATGATAACGATATTGATGATCTGGAAATTTTACTATTAGATAGAGAAAAAAATTTAAATTATCATCTGATAGAAAGGAGCAAAAAATATCTATTGTATCTTTAATAGAAAAGTTCTCAGAAGTTATGAGAATAAATAGAGATGCAAACATTTTAAAATTCTGGGAGGAAAATTCTTCAATATATCCAGAAGTATATACCTTTTCTAGAATCGTCATGGCTGTACCGGCGACTCAAGTACAATAATTTATGTATTATAAAAATGACTATCTATTTTAGGTAAGCGTAGAACGTGGATTTTCATCGTTGACTAATTTACATGGAAATCTGAAGGATGATATTTTATAAGATATCATGATTGTGCGATTGAATAAAATATTTAAAATATAAATTATCGCATTTCGAATTATAAATGTGTATATATTGAAGTATAATAAAAAATGAATGAAAAAATGTCTTATTTTAAGTCATTATTTTTATGTTTCCTCTGAAAGGACCCGAACCCTGGACCCGGGTCCTTTTTAAATTTATTACCGGACCCTTTTTTTTTGTCGAAGGGTTCACATCCCTGATTTATACTATCAGTGAATTTAGTCAATAGAATATTTAGTAAGTGTTCGGTTTTGAGCTAAGCACTCGGTCAAATCAAAATATTTTTAAAATCTTTCTTAGGATAATGTTATACACATAAATATAAGCATTGTACAAAAATGAATATATTTTGGACAATAAGGACAGCAATACTATTATATT